GAGAGATGGTGACCGGGAAGCCCCTTCCTCTGGACCAGGAGCAGTGGGACGACAGCTCAGAAGCCCCTACCTCTGGGCCGGGAACAGTGGGACTCAGTACCTTGGTCTGGTGGTCTGGTGTCCTCTGCATCTTTGTAGTGTGGAGCCAGGTGGCTGCTTGCCTGCAGCAGGGTGATTTGGTGTCTTCCGCGCAACTCAGGACCTGCACAGACCTTCCTGTGTGCAGCGGGCTGATTTGGAGTATTCCGCGCGACTGGGGACCTCGGTAGGGCATGGGCAGACCTGCCTGTCTGCAGCGGGGTGATTCCTCGGATGCTCTTCTTTAGAGAGCCACAGGCCTGTGCCCTATTGTTGCCTTCAAGGTTTGGCTCAGCCGTCAGCTGGAAGGGTCCTCCCTGCCCTGTTGACCTTTCCAGACACTGAAACCTCCTCTTCCCTGCTTCATCTGAGTCACAGCACCCCGGCCTCTGTCCTGGTGCTTGTCCATGGCTGGGCTCCCCCATGAGGGCAGGTTTTTGGGATGTTTAGTTCACTGATATTCCAGGTTTATAGCTGGTGCTCAATATCCATTGAACAAATTCAAAGTTTCTAATTAACTTTACTTTCTTCTGTGTCTGTGCTGGAGAGAATGTCAACTACATGGTCAGTACTGATTTATGCCTTATCTACTTGCAAAAATTATTGGAGTTGATTTGCTATTTATTCCCCCCACATTATAAGTTTGACTTACTTTTATTTATTTGGCTCTACACTGGGCACTAGGGAAATACAGCTACTAGATAAGGCATAAAATAAATTTGAAGCTGTAATTTTTTTTTTATTTTTTGGTACCAGGGATCAAACTCGGGTCCTTCCCCTTGCAAGGCAGGAGGTGGAACCACTGAACTAAATCCCCGGCTCTGAGGCTGTAATTGGGAAAAGAAAATACCTAAACCAAAAATCCAGGCTACTTTTGGACTCTGGTTTGTTTTTTGTTTTTGTTTTTATTTTTTGGTACTGGGGATCAAACTTGGGTCCTTGCACTTGTGAGGCAGGCGGCAGAACCACTGAGCTAAATCCCCAGCCCCTCGGACTCTGTTTTTGCATTGCATTATGTTCTGAAGAGCTTTATCAGAAGTCTTTTAAGCTTTAAGTAATAAAAGAAATACAACAGTTAAACTCATTTTATATGATCTACACCGTATGCTAAGCAAAAATATGTATTTTTCCTAACTAGCACGATGTATAAAACTGATTATTTTGAATGAGCCAATTGAGTTTTTGAATTAAGCAAATTGAAAAATAAGTGATCCTACATTTACATATTTTTTTTGTTTTGGGGGGGGTTTGAGACAGAGTCTCACTATATAGTTCAGACTGGCCTCAAACTCCATATGTAGCCTATGTTGGCCTTGACCTCAAGGAGATCCCCCTGCCTCAGCCTCCCAAGGGCTGGGATTACAGGCATGTGCTGCCATGCTCCCACAGATCAACCTTCCTAACTGCTACCACTTGGATTGACATTAGGAAGGACTCCAGTTCCTGGAGGGCAGACCTGGAGCTAAGAAGCTGTCTCCTAATGCCCAGCATAGTGCCTGGCCCAGAGCTGAACCAATGAAAGGAGAGGTACAATAAACCCAGACTTAGGCACAGACTCTTACCATGAGTTCTGGGTAAACTGGACAGCCCCTCTCCCCATTCTCTGCTTGTGGGCCCACACTGATCAGGCTGCACCGGCCTCTTGGCTGATTGTCTAGCACATCAAGCACCTGCCTGGATCACTCTGCCCCACTTGGTCCGATGGCTCCCTTCTGACTACTGCAGTCCTCTGTCCCAGACCACACCACGCCTCCTCGCTATCTCCACACTGACTCAGCTGCATGTTTCAACTCACCTGTTTGCACATGGCTCATCCTCCTCTGAGCGAACAAGAGAATGTGAGCTCAGCTAGGATGGGAACTTTCCTGCTTTATCTTCAAAATCTACATTTGGGATGCGGCAGGTTTGCCATAGATATTTGTGGAATGAATGAATGTTAAAGAAACTCTGGACCCCTTCCTTGATCTTTAAATTCTTTTAAAATAAGTTAAGAAGCTGAGTTTTTGGAGTGTGTGTGTGGGGTGCACACACACAAGTTACTAGGAATTAAATCCAGGGCTTCTCAATGGACAAATAAATACTCTACCACTGAGCTACACCTCCACCCTTTAAAAAAAATTATTTGGAGGGCTGGGGATTTAGCTCAGTGGCACCACACCCGCCTCACAAGTGCAAGGTCCTGAGTTCTATTACTGGTACCAAATAAATAAATAAATATAATATATATTATATATATATTATATATATATTTGGAGTTGTGGCATTATTAAATTCCCCAGGTTGGCCTCAGATTTGTGATCCTCCTGCCCCAGCCTGCTGAGGGGCTGAGATTACAGGCATGAGCCATTGTTCCTAGCCAAGAAACAGTTTTTAATTAAATATTTTTAAAATGACATGAAGCAAAACTACAAGACACTTCAATATGCAAAGCCTTTTATAATAAAATCTGATGCACGTTTCTCATACATAAATGTGGGCTTAGTTTTATGCTGTCCTAATTAACACATCTCTTTTAATTAAAGGCTTCACAAAAAAAGGAAAAAGCTTTGTCCATAGTACAAATGCAAAATAAGGCACCAGTGGAAGTCATACAATCTTTTTATACCATAGAAACACACTCATGTTTTGACAGAAAAAAAGATAATCAAAAATTGCTTTTTGTCAGCCAGGCGATTGCAAGACCTTGTCCCCCCAACTGCCCCCACAAATTTGCTTTTTGTCTAGCTACAAAATCTAAACCATTTACCTTTCTACTTAATATTTGTGATTGCATTTCCTGTTAACATACTTGATTCTATAAGTAATCCTAGATGTCTCGGAGCCAATATAACGGAGTAAGTTAAAGGTATGATAAAAAGAAACTATTTTAATACTATTTTTATTATATTTGTAATACATTACATAATGTAGGATTTATTAATACTGTTGATCGATTTGTACATAAAAGTAACTGCTGAGGGTGTTTGCAAACCCTGGTAGATAGCTAAAAGAATTAAAAGGCACAGGCCGCATCTGTTAGACCCTCCCTTTAGGGGTCCCTTCCACTGGAACCCTGACCTACGAAGCCGGGCGGCGTCACTCTGAAGTATTCTCCGTGATGGGTGACGAATGGGAGTTCCTGAAGCCTCCTCCTCGCAGGCAGTGGGTGGTTCTCCCGGTGACAGCCCGTTTGGAATTGGAGCCGCGGACCACTCCCGGCGCGCAAGTGAGCCGCCGGGCGGAGGGAGGGGAGGGCGACGCCGCGCCTATGTAGACCCTCGGGGGCAGGGGAAGGGAGGTCAGCGCATGCGGGTGCGGGTCCCGAAAGATCACTGGGGAGACAGGCGCGAGCACAGCGGAAGGACGTCCGGAGAGTGGGGTAGGGGCCAGCAGGAGGAGGAGCTGGAAGTACGGACTGGCAAAGGATGCAAGTGAAGTCCGAGCCCCGAGTCGTTTCCGGGGTAGCACAGCGAGGTGGCGTCCGGTCGCCTGGGCGCCGCGGGGAGTACGCTCGGTTTCACGGGCGATGGCGTTGGGCGGAGTCGGAGTGCGTGATTCCCCGCCCCATACCCGCCTCTCCAGAGGCTCCACCCACAACCCCTCTAGTCCCTCCCCCTTCCTCGGACCGGCCCACCCCGCCCCTTGCCCCGTGACCCCTCACCTTTCCCCTCGCCCCGTGACCTCCCCAGCCCCAACGGTCCGCCTACCCCGAGCTGTGCGAGCGCCGCTAGGGGGTGCGGGCGGTGCGGCGGGCTCGGGGCGCGGGGAACCCGTCCGTCCCTGCCCCGCGGCGCCCGCGGAGATGCGGCGCGTCTCCTAGAACGAGGTGCGGCGGTGGGTAGCGGGCGGCGCGGCCGGGGGCGGCGGGCCTTCAACGCGGCGCTCAAGCCTGCGGCCTCTCCGCGCCGGGTACTGAGTGCGCACGGGGCCTCCAGTATCCCGTGCCGCCGCTGCTGCACCCCCGCCCCACAGCCTGCGCAGATTTCCTTGCTGTGCCGGAATCGGATCGCGACGGCACAGCCATTGCCTGTCCTGAGGGGTCGTGGGGGTGAAGGACATTCTTTTATCCAAAATGAGAGGAGTGACCTCAGGACCTTCTTACCCAGCTACATTCCCTCGCCTTTCTAAATGTTTATAAGTTTAGAATCCCTTTAAATCGCTAAATTGCCCAGGGTGGGCTGGAACTTGTGATCCTCCTGCCTCAGCCTCCCAGAGCGCTGGGAATACAGGTGTGCCAAGGCTGTTTCAAACGCTGTACTGGAGCTCTTTTGCCTTGAGCCCTCATTATAATTGACTTTAGAATTCCGCTTTCTCTTCTTAGCATTAATTAAAACGCGAGTTCGGGGCGGGGGCGGGGAGGCTGGCTCAGTGGTGAAGCACTTGCCTGTAAGTACCGAATCCCCAGTGTGGGGGTGGAGGGAGGAGCCTGAAAGTCTGTCTTTTCCCAGAAAACTGCTCCAGGTACGAGCTGGGGCTATCGAGCGAGGTTTTGTTCGCGCAGTCCGCTGTACTTTTCGGGGGGCGGGGTGGCAGAGCAGAAGTGAGGTGGGCTATTTCTCAGGAGTTTGGGCTGGCAGCCACTTCCTGGTGCTTCTCTCGGCAGCAGATGCTGGGGGGAAGGTCCTGCCCTCACGAACAGCCCAGAGATCAGCGAGACGGTATTTCCTGTGGTGTATGTAGGGTCGTCTGTGGGAGTGGGGAAGTCGCGGGGGAAGTCTAGTCTCTGTGCCACATTTACTGTTTTTAATTTTAACACAGTTATCTATTTGTGTGTAGACAAAATGATTTCATCATAGACATATTATCACTCCCAGAATAAATTGGGGACATTAGTTGACAACAGCTTGACACGTATGCATTTGCTGTTGTACTTTCACAGCGAGGTCTCTGTTTAGTATGTTAGGAGGACCCACATTAAAGCTCTACCAGTAAGTAAATTGGCCCTTTGTAATCCACCTGTCTCCAAAGTTACTGGCTCCAAATTATATGGTCTAGTAGGCTGAATAATGACACCAAAAATGCAGGTCCTAATTCCTGCAACCTGTAAATGTAGTATGGGAAGAGGACTGCACATTGGATTGAGCCAAGGATCTTGAAATGGGGGAGATTATCATAAATTATCTGGCCAGCCCCTCAATACAAACAGGATGGTGGGAGAGAGGCAGAGGGAAGATTGTACAGACAAAAGTCACTATGTCTTTTCTTGTTGCTGGGATAAAATACCCAACCCTCACAAGTTAAAGGAGGAGAGGTTTATTTTAGCTCACAGTTTCTGGAGGTTTTAGTCTATAGTCAGCTGGTTCCAAGGCAGGGCAACATGGCAGAGGGGCATCACAGGAAACAGTTCTTGACAGGGCAGGAAAGAAGGCAGCAACTTTTATCCCATCCAGGCTACAAGACTATTGGATGGTGCCATCCACACCCAGGGTGGGCCTTCCCATTACTCACACCTAAAACAATGCTAAACCAATCAGTGACCTAAGCCAGTTGTCACACCCATAATCCAGCCACCTCCCAAAAGCCCCACCTAACAGTGCTTGAGGCTTTGGGGGGAGCATCTAGATAAAAGCCCTGGTGCGCTTTGACCCCAGAGCCTGGGATTGGAGAGTTGTGCCACTAGTCAAAACATACTAGTGGCCACAGAGCTAAAAGAGGACTGATTCTCTCTTGGAGCCTCAAGGAAAGCAAGGCCCTTCGTATGTCTTGAGTTCAGCTCTGTGTAGCTAAGTTTGGACTTCTGACTTGCAGTACTATGAGAAAATAAATTGCTATTGTTTTAAACATCCAAGTTTGAGGTAATTTGTTCTGGCAGCTAAGAATCTAATATGTAAGTCAGTGCTCGTAAATCATTTAGAATCCTGTATGTATGAAAAATATTTTAAAACTCTATAGCTGGGGCAGTAGTGGGCATAGTAGTAGAGATCACTGTATATTTTCCTGAATCCTATGAATCCCAAGGAAAGGATTTAAATAGGGGATTTGGTAAGAAGAGAAAAGAAATCAGGTAGTGCATAGAAAAGAGGTAGACTGGCATTTAAACCAATTTTTTGGACTTCTCCCTTTGTATTAATATATCACTGTGTCTGTTCTGGCTAACAGGAGTAAAGATGAAGAGTGACAGCACCTGGCAAGATGGGCACATGCCTGTAGCACATGCCTGTAGTTGCTATTCAGGAGGCTGAGGCAGGAGGATTACAAGTTTGAGGCCAGTTTGGGCACCTTAGAGAGACCCTGTCTGTAAAAAATAAAAAGAGTTGGGTGTCGTAGCTCAGTGGCAGAGTGCCTTCGGGTTCAAGTAGCTGCCCAGAGAAAAGTGATTTAGCCTTGGTTTTTAGCCAAGTCTTTGGATATCCACCAGGTACATATCAAATAAGAGTTGGAGACACCTAGAGATTGAGGCCTAGGCCTGGGGGAAAGAAAAAATGAGATAGTACTTCCAAGTGTGAAAAAGCAACCTTTAGTCGTTTGGGATGAAGCCAGTTTGAGGTCTCGAGGTACAAGAATAAAGCCGTCTTCAGGTTTGAGTCACTTCTGGGACCCAGGCAGGTCAGTTACCCTTCCCATTCTGACTCCCTCAGTCTGCTTTATTTTATTTTATTAAGTTTATCGGTACATTTTAGATATACAATACAGTTACATTCATCATTGAGAATTTGTACCTTTACATGATGTATCTTTGTTCTTATTTTCTCCCCCTTCCCCTGCCCTCCCTTCACCTCCTCCACCCCTCCCTATTTACAAAGACTTTGTTTCCATTTTTTCCTTTTCTCACATTTTTTCCTTTCCCTTCTTTCCTTTCTCCTACTCCTCCCACTTCCCCTCCCCCTTTGAACCTTTTCTTCCTTTTTCACATTATCTATTACACATTTTGATCCTTACACTTTCAGTTTCTCACACTAGAGAAACTATTTGGTATTTACACATGTCCTGTTTATTTCACTTAAGAGTATGGCCTCAATATGCATCCATTTAGCTATAAATGTCTCTAATTTCTCATTCTTTATGGCTGAGTAGTACTCCATTTTATAAAAAAGCCACATCTTTATCCAGTCACCAGTTGATAGGTAATTGGGCTGTTTCCAAATTTTAGCTATTACAAACTGCTGCAGTGAACATGAGTGCACATATATTGCTGTGGTATGATTCTTTTAATTCTTTGTGGAAGATACCCAGCAGGGGAATGGCTGGGTCAAATGGGACCTCTAATCCTAGTTGTTTGAGGTATCTCCATACTGATTTCTACAGTGGTTGCACCAGTCTGCATTCTCACCAACAATGGAGAAGGGTTCCTTTCTTTATACACCCCAGCATTTGTTATTGGTTGATTTCTTGATAGCAGCCATTCTTCCTGGGGTGAGGTGGAATCTCAGTGTTGTTTTCATCTGCATCTCTTGAATGAGTAGTGATGTTGAACATTTTTTCATATTTTTTTTTTTTTTGGTACCAGGGATCGAACTCTGGACCTTGCACTTTTGAGGCGAGCAGCGGAACCACTGAGCTAAATCCCTGGGCCTTTCATATGTTTATTTGTTGTTAAAGCATTACATTTTAAAAACTTTTCTTATCCTGTATTTTGGGGGAGCTTCTTCATTTTCCATTTTTCATCTCAAATTGTTATTTTTATCTCTTAACTATGACTTCTCTTCTGAGGTCCAGACCTACATATACAAATGTCTATCTTTGTCTCTGCTTGAAATGTTGTAAAAGTTTGCTCACTCTTGAGAGAACTTCCAGAACGGTCTTCTCTCTTTCATCCATTCCTCCATTTTTTTCCCCATTGGAGTAAATACCTCTCCATGGAATGACTTGCTATGCAAGTCACCCATGACCCATTTTCCCACTTACGACACACTTGATAATCACCACCAAGTTCTGTTGATTTTGCCTCCAAATAAATGTTATCTGTTCTGTTTTTCTTATCTGAACCACCACATCTATAGACCAGGACATCTGAAATAAACTTTATGTGGACCTACTTTTTTTCTGCTAATGTTTCCTTCCTTTTATTCAGTCACTATGAAACCTTAGTGTTTGCAGATCATACATGAAACCATCCTAGGCCTTCCCACTGCTTTTAAGTGTCACTGTTCTGTAAAAGTCTCTGATTCCCATGATCTAGCTCGATCAGTCACTCAGTGTCAATCTAAATCAAGTCTTTATATTATAATCTCTCATCATACCTTTTTATGACTTGTAATTATATATTTATTTGTCTGATTACTGCTGTTCTGCTTGGCTGTTCTTTATGCTTAATATATTTGTCACATATCCATAGAGTCTGGCACACTGTCAACATATAGTGGGAGGTAAACAATTGCTCAGTAAATGAATGGAAATTCAGGTCTCCACATTTGAATTTTTTTTTTTTTGCACCGAGGATTAAACTCAGGTCCTTGTGCTTTTGCAGCAGGCAGCGAAACCACTGAGCTAAAATTCCCAGCCCATAATTGATTTTTTTTTTTTTTTTGGTACGGAGGATCAAACTTGGGTCCTTCCGCTTGTGAGGCAGGCGGCAGAACCACTGAGCTAAATCCCCGGCCCCAACAATTGATTTTTTTAATTGAAAGTAATTAGTTGATTTGCTTCTATTCTGCTGGAGAGTTTCACACCAACATAAACTAGAGAAGTGGTCACTGCAGCTTCCACACAACTGGTAGAATCCCTTGGCAGATGGGACCTGCTCATACTGTGGCCCCTTTGGAGCTTGTGAGAGAAGTGCATTCTGAGCTCATATCTCTAATCTGCTTCCTCTCTGGCCACTCCAAGGTGAGAGAAAGGAGATTGCTGTCCAGAGGTATCTGGTGTAGAGTAGAGGGGAGCCATCAAACGCCCGGTGGGATGTCAGCAGGGATCTGCCACCACTAAAAACTCAGCACTTCTGTGGTCTTGAAATTATTTCTGGCTGTTTCATGTAGGGCAGCTCTAGGCAAAATCCTGCAGTACGTGAAGTCTCTATTTTTAAACTGCTTTTGGGGACATACTTTACATAGTATAAAATTCACCTGCTAAGTGCACCATCCAGTGATTTTTAGTAAATTACAGAGTTGTGTAGTCAGCACAATTCAGTTTTAGAGCATTTCCTTCACCTTAGAAAGATCCTTTGTACCCATCTGCAGCCAGGTCTGTTAGCTCTCCAGCCCCGTTAGCTTTAGGTTTGAGCAGCTGCCCTGGCTGATCCAGTTACCTTGGAATGGGCCAAAGCTCCTTCTCACTGTTCCCTGCCAGCTCCTGGAGGATCTTATCCCCCTGATGGAAATCTTCTAGTAACTTTCTTTTGCAATTCTCATAAGTCTCAAAGTCCTTAGTATGGAGACTCCGTGACTACCTGCTGCTGCCCAAACCAACATTTCTTAGAATTCAGGAAAGGTACTGATAAACCCTTGGTTCTCTTGGGTGCAGTGTGCAGGTGGCATTTGGAAGCAAACCTCTCATCCTCCCTTGCCATCCTCCTCTTCTTGCCATCCTGGTCCTTAGCATATGGTATTTCCTCTTAAACTATGCCAGTCCTCTGCTGGGGGGTCTTCTTTGTTGTTCAGCTCAAATGTCACTCAGAAAGGCCCCTGACTACCCTCACTAGAGTAGCCTCACCCTGCTCGGACAGTGGCCACTACCCTGTCCCCTCACCACCCCCTCCCCACCACCACCCCGTACCAGGGATCGAACTCAGGATCTTGTGCTTGTCAGGCAGGCTCAGTGCCACTAAGCTAAATCCCCAGCCTGCCACTACCCTGGTTGTCTCCATGCTCCTAAACCATTCCCGAAAGTACATTTTTGACTTTTTTTCTTTAGTATCACTTTCCCCAGTAGAATATAAATACACAAGGGAAAAAACTTGATTGGTGCTGAGCTTAGACAGCTCTATCTCTAGTATTTATAGAAATGCTATTCATGGTAGCAACACATTGTCAACCATAAAAATGCCAGGAACAGTAATTAATGTTTGCTCTATGCCGGGCCCAGTGCTAAGGTTTTTTTCGTTTTTGGTTTTTGGGGTTTTGTTTTGTTTTGGGGTTTTTTTTTTTGAGGCAGGGTTTTGCTATGTAGTCCTGGCTGGCCTTGAAGTCACTATGTAGCTCAGGCTGGCCTCAAACTAGCAATGATCCTCATGCCTCAGTCTTCCCAGTGCTGGGAATACAGGTGTACACCACCACCCTCAGCTCCCAGTGCTAAGTTTTTACAGCCATGAATTATTTAATTGATGCTTACCACATTTGCTGTGGGAAAGATAAAGGGAACCTGTTTTCCAAATACAGTCCCCTACATTAAATTATTTTTTTCAAAGGCATTAGGCAGTTTTCTTATTAGTGTATTGATTTTCAAGACTGGATCAATGTACATTGCATTAGCAATATAGTAGTTTTTTTTTTTTTTGGTACCCAGGATCAAACTCAGGACCTTGTACTTGCAAGGCAGGCAGCAGAACCACTGAACTAAATCCCCAGCCCCAATTAGTAATACAGTATTAAACCTCTTTCCCCACATCCCTGTAAACTGGAGGGGAGATGTGTTCACTAGGAAGGAAATGAGGACAAAGTACAGGGTAAATAAAAACATCCCTAAGAGTGCAGGACCCAGAGAGCGAGACTGATTTGGAGCATAGGGTGTGTTGGGAGTTGCAGGAGACATGTCTGGAAAGTTGGCAAGGGCAGATCAGCTCTTAAGGGCTTTGAGTGCTAGACTTAGTTCCAGCCTGAGTCTTTGAGCAGGAAGTGGCTATACTTTTAAAGGAAACTCAGTGATTTTAAGAAGCTGAATCTAGAAAGAAAGTTTTGAGGTATTTTGGAGAAAGTCTGGCAAGAGTTGATGAAAGCAGGAAAAACTACAATTAAGTTGCATATTCAAGGATTCCTTCCATAGGACTTGGACCATACTTAAGTCTTCTTTACTAAGTTACAAGATATTACAGAGAGAGACAACAAAATGTGGTTATTAATTGGATGTGGCGTTTGACTAGATGAAGAATAGCTGAAGACGTGGGAATGTCTGACTTGGGAAGTTGAGTTTATGGCATCATTGTCAGAACACCAGAGAAAGCAGGTTTGGAATATGAAGGCTTTAATACAGCCACAACCATACATACAGAGATATTAAAGCTAAAAAGTCAAACAAACTAATAACAAAGTAGCCTGGGTCTTGATGGAAGCAGTGAAAGCCCTGCCTGGCTTTGCTGTTGACTGAAATCATCTGTGAGAAATAATCATATTTTGGTCTTTTTGCTGAATGTTTTTCATAGGAAATCATGGAATGTCCAAGTTGGAGAAGACTTAGCAATCTTCTGGTCTAACACTGCCCAAGAAAGGACATCCAATGACAGCTGCCATCCCAACATGTGCTCACCATCCTCAGCTTGCCCTCCTCACAGGGATGCCCACCACGTGTGTATTGAGGGTCTCTAGTACTTGGAAAGTCAGTCTCCACCTTGAACTAGAACCAGCCTCTTTTCACTTCTGTTCAGTAGTCTTAGTGCTGTATGTGAAATACATTTATTCAGTTTTTAGAATGTGACAATCCCTTACTTACATTTCACTGAGATATTTTTAAAATCCTGATTATTGATCATCCCAGTACACCTGCTTAACATTTGCAGAACTCTTCTGACTCACCAGACAGAAAGGTCTTTACCTGACAACTTGTCTAGCCAAATACAAGATCTCTTGCCTGGTCAAAAGCAAGTGAAAAGCAGTTTAAATTGTCCCATGGTATTCAAGTGGTCTATTTAAGTCAGTTTGGACTGTGCTTAAAGAAAGATCAGGTCTGAGAGTATCAATGTGGGGGTCATATGTGCTCATAGGTCTACTTGTCTTGATAATGCCAGTAGTCTATGCCAATAAAATTAACAATGGGGGGCCAGGGATTTAGCTCAGTGGCTCCATGCCTACCTCGAAAGCGCAAGGTCCTGAGTTTGATCCCCAGTACCAGAAAAAAAATAGCATTGGACCAACAAGGAGTATATAATTAAATATGCTTTGTTGTACAAATATAGCCTACATAAGTGCTATGGACTATTAATTAAAATGTATTTTTTTATAAAATGAAAAATAAGTTTCTGTTGCTGCTGGTATATACAAGTGTTTTAGGTATTGTCAAGACTGTAAGTGGTGAAAATGAACTTGTGAATTGAACTGTTTGAAAATAAATTTTAGCCAAAGAAATATATATTAATAAAAAATAAATATATATTAATAACCAAATTTAAAAATTTCAGGTATTAATAGAATAATTGAAAATAAGAATATCTAGAAACTAAGGTATCTTTTATTTTACTTCTTATATTTAAAAATTATAAACATACAATTGATATACCAGTTTATTCTGTCTATTTAATTTTGGAAAACCGCAAGGCTTGAACCTGATGAGTGTCACGGCTAGAATAAAGTTGAAAAATGAGAAGCGCTTTCTGTGTGTTTTTCAGAATGTGTTTAGTGGAGCCTGGCACAGCCACAAGGGTGTGTCTGGCAGGGAAGAGGGTGGGCGTGGGGACTCAGAAGAGTTAAAGGCTCCCATTGCTTAGAAGAGGTCTGACGAACAGATGTAATGTGTGTGGTAATATGGAGGTTGAGGCTCAGAGATATGAAAAGGTTTGCTTATGCTCTCAACCTTAGCCAGCTAATTCTGCATTATATTATATAGTCCCTGTGTTTGATCAATGGAGTAAACCCAATTTCTTTCCTGTTCATAAATTTACATGAAATTTTTATCTTCTTTCTAAAAATAGAAAGATGTAGGTATTTATTTGGGGAAAGTTAGGGTATGCATTGCTTAAATTATAAATCTGGATTTGTTATTCATGTTATTACTACCCTGATACATGGTACTGTATACATTTATATCGAGGCAGGTACTATATAGCAAGGTCTGTGTGTGAGTTATCTCAGTTAACTCTTATTCTCTTGAGGTGTGTACTCTGTCTCCATCTTATAGTCTTACAAAGGTTAAATATCGTTAAGGTCACAGAGCTAGTGTATCACATTGTTTGGAGAGAAAGAATATGACTGAGAAACACACGAAGTGATATGAAGTTAATAAGCAATTAACTTGGCCAGTAAAGTGCTGTTCCACATTAGAGGATCTCCTCATTGTGTTTCTGAAACTGTACCAGCCTAGAGAGAGATACTTGGATATCTCTAGTATTGGGATGTCCAAATATGTTGGATTTTGACGTCCTGGAATGTTTCAAAATCCCCCAAGGAAATGTGTCTTCAATCTTGTTCTAGAGGAATATACACTAGTCCTATACTTTGCAGTCTCAGGTTTCTGGTCCCTCATCCTAGGGGCTTGAGTCATTAGTTGATGAATCTTGGAATCTAAATGGAATATGTTGTGTACATATATCAGCTGCACGCAAGGAATGTAAACATCATAAACTATAAACATATAAACATGTACCAAAAAAAGGGAATCAAGAGGTGGATGGAGTGGGGGAGGAAGGAAGAGAAAGTGGATTTTAAAAGAATTAAGATATATTATGTGCATGAACCAACTCTCTACAAGGAATACAAACATTATGTATTATAAACATGTACTGATACAAAAATAATCTATTCCCAGTTAAAATATTGTTTGGATTCTACATTGCCTTGCTGTGGAGACAGTTATTCATTCTGTCATAGTCACAAGAAAGGCCCACCTTTAGTAGCAGCACCAAGGGAAGGAATCAAGGTCAGAAAGTTAATACCAGGGAAGCACAGGTGGTCATTTGCCTGAGCCGCTGGAACCCAAGGAGAAGGAAGGGATAATATCCAAAAGATGCCCTAAGCACTTGGCTCAACTGTGTAACAAAAAGTAAAGCTTATAAACTGTTTTCCTTTCAAAATCATCTCTTTGTGGTCTTCCAAGGCCTTTTTGCAACAGTCCAGTCAAATAACAGAGTATTTACAAAGCTGGTACTCCTTACAAATTTAAGGCTTCTTTTAGCATGAACCTACTCATAATTTTAGATGAGACAGGATTGTTTATAATAGACCTTGGCATATTAGAAAAGACTAAGATTTCACCTCTGAATTTTAGTCAGATTTATAAGTTTGTGTTATGATCCCCAATCAACCAGATGCAGAGTTTTAACAATTTTATGATTTATAGAGGCAAAATCCTATTTATTGAAAATAGGATATTTTGGGCCGGGCATTTAGCTCAGTGGTGCTGCCGCCTGCCTCGCAAGTGCAAGGACCAGAGTTCAATCCCCGGGACCAAAAAAAAAAAAAAAGAAAAGAAAATAGGATATTTCAATACATATGTACATATGGTGTGATGAAAGTGGAAAGATGCTGAATGGCTTAAACAAATTGAGGATATGGTCAGTCCAAAATAGTGAAAATCTAAACTACAAATAAAATTGCTGCTATTTTATCAATCTTAGGCTCATAAAATAACTATCAGCAATGGTGAGTGGAGGTACTAAACATCTTCTTTACAAATAAATGGCCATTGAAAAACTCTTGTTTGAGTAAATAAATGTATGTTGTCTTTAAACTACTCATAACAAATTTTTTCTGAAAAACAGTGCTTTCTGAAGGCCCATGACCAGTCAGTCTGAATTGAGCTTCTTGCATTCACCATCTTATCTCAAGTGAAGCCATGGCTTCCACATCAACATACTTTAAAGTCAAAGCTTCCCTTTTCTTTTCTCTCTTGTCCAACTTCTTGTTTTAATTCTGCTCACCTTGCTCTTAGCATCTCTTTATGGCTTGATCCTATCAAGCAGAGTTGATTAATTTACTATTGCCTAATCCTGGGCTATGATTTTACCTGTTCTGTTCATTCCTTCATGCTTTTGATCTACCTGTGACTTACAAGAACATTACTCAGTAGATTGGGTTTTCTTGGTGTCATTTATCATCTGAAGAATCCCCAAGTGCATCAGTGTTGTATGTCAGTAAAATTATAATACCAGCTGGGGATTTAGCTCAGTGGTTCCAGTGCCTGCCTCGAAAGTGCAAGGTCCAGAGTTCGATCTCCAGTACAAAAAAAAAAAAAAGGAAAAAAAATTATAATACCAAGTTTCGTGATGAAACTTGTTTAAGTGAGAAGGGTACTTTTGTCTTCCCAAATGGCAGTCTCTTCTATTTAGAACATTTCGATTGTCTAGCAATCCTGACTAACATTCCATTTGTTACAATTCTCTATGGACTATTTCACTGCCTACTACTTATTTCCTAAGTGATGGCACAAGTCACATTAAGGTAGAATTTATTTTTAATTGTAGTTTTGACAGATGACACTTCAGTAATCAAAAGGAAGAAACAGTGAGTGAAATGAAAAGAATCCAATTCAGTTAAAACTCTGTAGCTTAGGGCTGGGGATTTAGCTCAGTGGTTCCAGCACCTGCCTTGCAAGCGCAAGGTCCCTAGTTCAATCCCCAGTACCCCCCCAAAAAAAATACACACACATACACATACATACACAGATGCTCAAAAATCAAACAAACAAAAAAAAGAAATTTCTGTTAAAAAAAAAACACTCTGTAGCTCACAGGTCATTTTTTCTTCACTATATACTTACAAATATGAATTAATATAATTAATGTATGAATTAATGTGATCTTCCTCATTCCATCACTTTTTTGGTTCTCACCTACAACTATTTGGTTTTACTTTTTTTTTTTTTTAAAGAACTAGGGTTTTGATTCATTAATTTTATCTATTGTTTTTCTATTTTCTACCTCAATTTCTAATTTACATTAATACTTTCTATATGTGTTTTCTTCTTTTTTGTGTTAGACATTAATTCATCTTATATTCACTATTTCTTTAGCGGTGCTAGGGATTGAACCCAGGGCCTTGCACATGCTAGGCAAGTGCTCTACCACCAAACTACATCCTCAGCCTCATTTTTATTTATGTATTTAGGGCTAGGAATTTTCCTGTTTTCCTCTTTCCACCATGTGTATGTGTATGAAAGGGTACTGGCGATTGAGCTCAGGGCTTTGTGGATATTAAGTGCTCTGCCCCTGAGCTACATCCCCACCCCCACCCCCCTTTTAATTTTTTTTGGTACTGGGGATCAAACTCATGACCTTGCACTTGTGAAGCAGGCATGGTGCCACTGAGCTAAATCCCCAACCCTCCCCCTTTTAATTTTAAGACAGTTTTTACTAAGTTCACCATGCTGGCCTTGAACCTTCGATCCTCCTGTCAACCTCCTGAATACCTGGGATTACAGGTGTGCATGACCACACCTAACTTTTTAACAGCTTTTAATATATCTTACAGACTGATTTTGTGCTCAGTATTTTTCAGAAATTCTTTATTACCTGTTTATATTTCCCTTATCACATAAGCATTGTTTAATAGCAGGCTTCTTTCTAGACTTATTGTGAGGTTTAATTTTTTCTTTCTGGATTTATTACCTTGTAACTAGAGATTATAGTTTCTAGCATTTCTACTTAATGAAACTTACTGATCTTTTATTTGGGCCCTAGAATGTGATTGATTTTTGTGAATGTTCTATGTATACTTTATTTTTGTTTGGGTTTTTTTTTTGGTACTGGAAATCGAACTCAGGACCTTGCGCTTGCAAGGCAGGCGGTGGAACCACTGAGCTAAATCCCCAGCCCTCTATGTATACTTTAGAAGAAAGTACATGTTGTATTATCAAAGTTTAGTGCTCAACATATTTCCAGAAGGTCTATGTTAGTGATTATTTCATCTGAATCTCTTATATCTATGCTTATCTTTTGTCCATTTGGCCTATCTCCTACTGATTACTGTATTGATTACCCCACCACCACCACCGTCCTGGGGCTTGAATCCAGAGTTCTCACATTGAGCTACATCCACAGTCCTTTTTTTCACTTTTTAATTTTGAGATAAGATCTTGCTGAATTGTACAGGCTGGGTTCAGATTTGCAATCCTCCTGTCTCAGACTTCCAGCTTCATCCCTAGTCCTCATAGAATTGTTTTTTATGAGCCAGTTTGAAAATCCTTTTCTTTCAGTAAGCAAGTTCAATGTCCTCATATTTATGACACAAATGTTGTGTTTGTTGTAATTTCTGTGGTATTGTATTCACATTATTGTATTTATCTTGTGATGTAATAACTGGATATATTAATTTACTGTTTCTTTATTTGACATTTTGTCTTTACTCTTTATTTTTAAAATTCTTTTCTCAAGAGGTTTGTATTTTTATTTTAGTGGTTACTTTTGAGTTAATACTTTTATAATGTACCTATAAATCCTTTCTCTCTTAAACTCCTGTCAGTTTTAAATGGTATTCTTTAATCCCTAGCACTGCAAAATCAATCAGTGACGCCTTCTGGCTGCTGCTATCACCTCCATGGGAGCCATACCCCCACCCACCCATCCCGTTTTAGTCACATCTGTTCTCCATTGTTATCCAGTCTTCAGAACTCTTATTCCCATTGCATTGCAGTGTTCATTCTTGAGTACTCCTATAGTTTTGTTTAGCTTCATAGTTGTTTGCTGGGGGAGACTTCGTCAGCAGAAAAGGCTTCTCCATGTTCTATGACATTTGCAGTCGCGTTGTAAGGAGATGGGCAGCCACCTTTGCTCCTCTTCACCGGTTGTACCGCGCCAGGCTGAGAGCCCTCTCTCTGCAGTTTCTGTTATGATGCAGGAGCCTCTGAGTTTCTCTTGCTGGTTCCTTTATTTCCTCTCTCCCTTCCTTCCTTTTACCACCACATCTCCACGGGAGGCTGCCTTTTCTCTCGGAATCTGATTCTCCTTAAGAAGCCCAGCTTGTTCACGTTGTGAACCACGAGGTTTCTACCTGTGGTTAATATGTTGCCTTTTATTAGCCATCTTCTGGGGTGACACTATCTATAACCCTGGGCTCATCTCTGCCTGCACTGTCTCAGCCTTTCCTTCTCTCCAGCACCACGACACGCACTTACCTGGCAGTGGTGGTGGGTGGGCTGGGGAGACTTCTGAAAGAGCAGTTTCCTGTGTCCAGGTGATGTGAAGGTCAGGGTAGTCTCTGTGCTCTGATGCTGCTGAGGAAATGGAGCACATGGGCTTTTATTTTTTCTCTGTGTTAATTTTATGATGGTTTAGGAGGAGAAGGAAAGATTTGGAATCAAGCCACCACCACTGTTTTCCAGACCTAGAAATTCCCTCTGGGACTAATCTAAAATTATGAGCACTATTTGATATTAAAGAAAATTCAACTCTTTATTAGTGATTTCTATTTTTTTGACTTGTGATTTCTACTAAGGAGATATTTTCTTCCATTATTTAGCAATCTAACTTTATTTTTTTGTTATTGTTTTGTTTTTTGAGACAGGGTCTTGCTATGTAGTTCAGGCTGGCCTTGAACTCACTATGCAGCACAGGCTGGCCTCAGCCTCCCGAGGACTGGGATTACAGGCATGCATCACCATGACTGGATAAATCTGAGAAACTTTAGAAGAAAAAATTCTGCCCCAAATCAGAACACTAATTACCATAGTAACTAAAGTATTAGTTTTTGATTTTGAGGTTATTTTTGATAATCCTCTTGGCCATTAAAATCAATAATTTTCACAATAAGAGTATTTACTTGTTAATTTTATGTAATATGTGTGTATGCATAACTTTTTCTGGAGGAAAAACTATTACTAAATTTCAAATATTATCAAAGTCAGTTCCTGTTATTCTGTGAAGTGTTTTCATGTAGTACCTTATTAATAAAGATTGAATACTTGGTCTTTCATAGACAAGAACAACAGGAACCAAACAGGGAAGCATTTATAACTCAGGATCTCTAAGAAGAGATAGAAGTAGTTAATATGGAACCAAAACCATGTGAGTCAAATGCTGAAGATCTTTTATCAAGTAGTGGCATCACATCCAACAGAGGTATGTACTTTTATAAAACAAAATGGGAAAAATCAGAATTAAACAATCTTTGTAATACTCAGTCAAGCTCCTGTTCTTTAGGATATTATGTTTTTAACTATAGGGCACAGAACAAAGTCATGAATGTCTACTATTTGTTTATAACCCTGTTTTTTAAGGAAGAAATTGCTTAGTCTTTTCAATAAGCATATCTGTATTTTCAGCATATGTGTACATTACCTTTAGGTGTAAAAATTGTTCCTGTGTTGAGTTGCTTCAACCCCAACACACTCCTCTATGATTCCCTAAGGCTTTCTCTTCCTATGTGTCTCCGTCTCCCCTAAATCCGTTTCTCCATCACCTTGGCCCCTTCCCCTCACCTGCTTCCACATCCAGCCAGGCACCAAGTCCTGCTCCCCACTCAGAAAAATCTCTTGGATCCATGTTTTCCCTCTCCATTCCATTTCCTGTTGTCTGATTCGGCCCCTACCACGTCTGCTCCTAATTATTTTAGTCAAAAGGTAGCGGTTAGCAAAACAGACAGATGGAATAAATAGGTAGAATTTCATACAGAGAACACAGGGCAGGGAGAGCTGTGAAGGCTCTGAGTGGATCAGCCTCTGTGGGCCGGAAGGACACTGAGAAGAGGAGTCATGACCTCACAACAGAAACTGCTGTGGGACAGAGAGAGAGCAAGGCCTGGGCTTCTCCCCTGGGCCCTCCGCTTCTGTCCTGCCAACACTCACATGGCAAACCTCTAGTTTGTCACTTCAAAGTCATAGTCTTCTATCTCAACAGAGTCCTGACACCACTGATAAAAATTTCTTATGATCTTAGCCAGGTGTCTTTCCCGTGTTGTATAATCTTTATTTCAAAGTTACACCATTCCAGATGAGTCCAAACCCCCTGCCATGACCATGGGGCCCTACCTGGTCTGTCCTGCATTTTCATTCTCATATCTGGCCACTACTTTCTGGCCAGAACACACCTGTCTCAAGCATCCTTGTCTTTAATTAGAGGAGCAGTTGCTCCTGCTACTACCTGCAGTATCCTCTTTCCTCCTGTCTCTGGACTGGTTCCTTATTTTTGTTTTGTTTTTATTTTTTGAAGGATCTCACTAGGCAGTTTCTTGAACTCACTATGTAGCCCAGGCTATTTCGAACTTATGGCAGTCCTCCTGCCTCAGCCTCCTGAGTACCGGGATTACAGGTGTGTGCCACCATGCCTAGCTAGACTGATTCATTCTTGCTCCAAGATACTTCAAGGTGCACCCTGCTCAAGTATCATATAGTTGCCCTCCTCCCAGCCCCATCCTCCTCCTGTGTCTTCTGCTCCTCTCTTGGAGTGCTCTTATTATTGTTTCACTTGCCTGTTTCTATCATGAGACCTTGTGTTTCTTTAGGGCTCAGAAGGGAACTACTTAGGGTCGGGGATTTGGCTCAGTGATTCTGCCACTTACCTTGCAAGCACAAGGACCCAAATTTGATCCCCAGTACCAAAAAAAAAAAAAAAGAAGGGAACCACTTAGAGTAAGCTTACTTGTTGTAATGTTTGTCACAGTTATTTTATGAATAATCTAATTAGTGAATTATTCAACATTTAGGTCCTTCAAGCTCATTTTTTGTGTCATCTGTTCGTGGTACAGTAATTGAAAACACAGCTTCAACTGGGACTTTCACACAGATTCCTATTTTCCCAAAATATGAAGTGGAACTTGATTCTCCTAGAAAAATCATTGCTTATCCAGGGAAGGAACATATTGAACGTGTTTTGGAAGAATATTCACATCAAGTCAAAGATTTGCAGAGAAGGCTAAATGAAGTGAGTTGTATTCTTCTCTTCTAGCACCTGTCACTGTTTTGGGGACAGGAGGGACATGTACTGCCTTAGAATAAAATCTCCACTTCCTAGATGAAGACATTAGCCATGGATCTGTTGATCAAACTAGTTAATCTGACCTATGCTGTCTATTTGACTATTCAAAATTGAGCTAATGAAAAGTCTACATAACTATTTTCTTTTCGTTAATAATTATTCATAGCCAGACGTAGTGGTGCACACCTGTAATCCCACCACTCAGGAGGCTGAGGCAGGAGGATTGCCATGAGTCCAAGGCCAACCTGGAGTACATAGTGAGTTCAAGGCCAGCCTGAACTACATAGTGAGACCCTGTGTCAGACACAACAACAGCAAATTGTTCATAATGCTATGGTTTCATGATGTAATTTTAATGAAATTTGAATAGCTTAGAATGGTACAGTTAATGATACTCATCTGTAGATATAATAATTGGTTCAGCCCTTCTGTCCTGCTATCCCAAAACCTGGTTTCCTTTACAAATAGGAGGGTACATTTTTAGATATATATGTATATACAATATAGCTACACAGAGTTTAGAAGTTTGCCAAAAATTTCAAGTGCATCTTACATAGATTATTTCTTTTTAATTTATTTTTTGTTTTTTGTTTTGGTACCAGGGATCGAACTCGGGTCCTTGTGCTTTTGAGGCAGGCAGCGGAATCACTGAGCTAAATCCCTGGCCCCTCTTACATAGATTAGATTGGCTTTAGAGCTGTGTATTGGGTCCCAGAGTCCACAGGCTAAAAGTGACTCCCCCAGGGTGCCTTTGGCCATGTCCAGTATCCAGTCTCTATGTGTGCCCTCAGGTCCAGCAGTACCAAGCTGCTTGCTTGTCTCTGATGTCCCTTGTAGTGCTAGATCTCAATGCTTGGCCCAGGCCACTCCCTCCTCCCTCCTGGCTGCATCTTTATTGCCCACCAAAACTCAGGCAGGTTTTTCCTCCTCTGAAGGCTTTCTTCCAGTTGGGATGAGTGTGTCCTCTACATAATCACTGCCTTTTGTGTACATGTTGTAATATTTAATACATTGTATTGTATTTATTGCCACATTGTTTGATCTCAGTGATGGCTAACCTTTTAGAGCTTTCAGTGATAACAAACAGCCTGCTGCAGCACGTGTGCCATAGGCTCACCACCACTGCTCTATATCATCAAACTATGTGAGCACTTTTGGGGGGAAGAAACCCCCACAATTTTATTAAGTGCTAAAAATTATGTACCACTGTATCATATACTGGATGAGATAATAAGACTCCTAAGGAGTTCATTATTTTTAGAAGGGAGCTGGTCATGTAAACAAACAGTGACAACCCTTTACGACAGGATCACTAAAGGCCATATACAGAGACAAAACAAGCACAGAAGTACTAGTGAGGAAAAGAAACAATGTCTTAATTTATTTTCTGTGTCCCTCCTCTGGCAGAATTTGTCACACTTAATTAGCTCTTATTAAATGTTAAATTTATAAATAACTAACAGGACCATTTGGCTACTTGTAATATTTAGTATGTACCTCCTATATCACAGATGTGGTGCTAGGTACTGGGTGAATAAAGATGGAAACACACGGTCCCTTGCATATACACAGGGACATCTGCAGTACAATCAGGGTAAGCAGTAAGCAGTGATGGTAAATCCAATTGATACTTTGTATTTCTTATTTCACTTTACTTTTCAGTATTTGACACAAGTAATTATTTTCCTATTTTTTAAAATTTTCTTTTGGTAGTGTTGGGGATCAAATCCAGGGCCTTATATATGCTCTAATGCCCACTATTCTTATTTTGCAACCTTTTTTTTTTTTTTTTTTTAATACTGGGGTTTGAACACAGGGCCCTGTGCATTACAACCATATTTTTAACTTCTAGGACTTCTCCTCTGATCTCTTTGGCACAGCATTCTGTTTTTATAGCTGTAATGTCTCTTGAATTTCTCTGCACATATTCATTTTTGGAAGTATTCCTCCATTCTTTGTATTATCATCTATCTTTGTTTCTGGGTGTTTGCTTGTTCAGTCTTGGTGTCTGTTTTTACTTTAGAATCTTTCAGGATTCAGTGGTTTTGTGTTTCTGTTCAGACTAAAGGATGAGGCAATAGAAAAGCTGATGGCAAACTCACTCTTTATGGGCAGAACTTGATGGCATTGCTTTGGGATAGTTAGGTGAAGCACTGCCTGATTTTAGAAACCTTTCTTAATTTCTCTGTAGCTGAATGCATTGATTTTTAGGTGGTTTTGTATGTTGCCAGTGTTTTAAGTGTGGTGGAAGTAGGGTTTGACTCTTCTATATACATAATTTCAACCAATTCTGCTATTTTCAAGTAACAACATTTGTTTCCATTTTCATTATGAGCTAGAGGCTCTTTGTTTTAGATTTGTTACAAGGTAGAAAATGGGTGAAAAGAGGCCAAGCTTGAGGTAAGGAAACTATTTAAGGTATTAGTATTCTAGATGAGAGATGAGCAGTTGGGCTATGAATAGCAGTGATGAGGGAAGTACCACATACATAACAAGAAATTAATAATAGTCTTTTAGAAGTGATTAGCTACAAGGAGCTATATTCTTCTAATGGAGATTAATTTGCTTGGCTTTTTTTTCCCCTCCCAGAGCAATGAACTGCATGAGAAACAAAAGTTTTACCTAAGGCAATCAGTCATCAATTTGCAGACAAAACTTCAAGAGATGCAGATGGAGAGAGATGCCATGGCAGACATCAGGTTAGGATTTGTTACCTGAATTTTTCCCCCAGTGATAGTGCTAGGGATCCAGCCCAGGACCTTGTGTGTACCAGGCAAGTGTTCTACCACTGAGCTATATCCTCAGCCCTGGAGTTATTTTTAAAGTTTTACTCCTTAGCAAAATCATTTGTGTGCATTAGTTTTATTGATATTATTTCTTTTCTTTCATTATTTTTATAGACGAAGGGAGAGTCAGTCCCAGGAGGATTTGAGAAATCAGCTTCAAAACACAGTTCATGAACTTGAAGCTGCCAAATGCCTTAAGGAGGACATGATGGAAAACAGCAGCACACAGATAGAGCAGCTCAGAAAGGTGATGCTTAGTCACGAAGGAGTCCTACAGGAAATCCGCACCATCCTAGTTGACTTTGAAGACGCCTCAGGCAAGAAAATACATGAACAGGACAACATGTCTACCATGCCCTTTCGAAGCTTGGGCACAGCTGTTAGTAAAATGCTAAGAGAATTAGACACAGAAATTTCTTATCTGAAAGGGAGGATATTTCCAGTAAGTGGTGAGAAAACTACTTCAATTTTATATTAAAATGCATGAAGAGAATTGTATTACATATATAATTTTTAAAAATTCTTAAAAGTAAGCCTAGTTCTCCTTTTTGCTCTTTGAAATATAGATTACTTTCACAATAATCATTGACCCCTTCTGTAGTACTGGGGATTGAAGCCAGGGCCTTGTACATGCCAGGCAAGAGCTCTACCATTGAGCTACATTCCTTTTTATTTTTTATTTTGGGGCAGAATTTCACTAAGATAACCAGGCTGGCCTTGAACTTGTGATTCTCCTACCTCAGTCTCCTGGGTAACTGGGATTACAAGGGTGTGCCACCATGCCCTGTCCACAGTGATCTATGTTGATACGAAATTAGTGAGATTTACCTATACAGCTTCATGAAAGTGTAACCAGAGTAAAAGATCTAATGAAGTACAGTAATAGAATTTATTGGAATTTAGTATTCTATTTGCATCTCTGAAGCATTCCTTTAGTTGAAAGTCCATAAATTTCCCAAGCTTTAGATTTTCTAGTACCTAAAGCAGTTTCTCTTTTTTAAAACTAGGTAGAAGATCAACTTGAAACACTGAAAGCTGAATCACAGAACAAAATAGAACTACTACTGCAACAACATCAAGACAGGTAGGTTTCTGATTGAAGTATGGAAAATCGTAATGAAACCACACCACAGTTCTATAGTCTTTTATCCGAAATTTCAAAATCTAAAAAGCTGTGAGATGCTGGGTGTGGTGGTGCACACCTGTAGTCCTACCACTCGGGGGGCTGAGGCAGGAGGTTCACTGTGAGTTTGAGGCCAGCCTGGGCTACATAGTGAGGTCAAGGCCAGTCTGCACTACACAGCAAGACCCTGTCTTAAAGAAACAAAATGAAACAAAACAAAACACCACCACCACCACAACAAAAAAGCTCTGAGACACAGAATAACTTTTTCCTAGGTTTGTAGCAAACTTGCATTAAGGAAAATCATTTTTCTGACTCTTGTTAAAGCTGTAAGAAGGGCTTAATTCAATAGAGGTTTATCTGTAGGGGAGAGAGACCAAGCTGACCTCTCAGTATGGCAGGGCAAGTGGGGAATCAGTATGGGAAGTTATTACAAGGAGAAGTCCAGGGACTCCTGACTAAGGCAGCCAAGGACTTAGTTGTCTAGGCTGGGAAATGAGGAACTTTATTGTTTAGCCTTCAAGGATGGAAGAGTCTTGCTAAACTGACTGGGCAGAATTCTTGCTAGGACTGGACTGGACCAGAAAAAGGACTGGAGCTAAGAGCATAGGCCTAGTTAAGAGAGGGCTTAGAACTAAAGCTTGGTCAAGGACTAAGTCTTTGTCATTTATTTGTTGGCAAAACCTGACCTGAGCTAATGTCAAGCTTTTTAGTCTTTATGATTTAGTTTGAATACTTATAAACATGTATTTATAATGTGTTTGGTGTACAGGTCCCTTCCCTAGATCTCACTTGGGGTATTGTAAAACATACCATGCTCGTAATTCTTTCTTTGGGACTAGGCAGCCCAGGCTGGCCTCAAGCAAGGCCTTGGGCTCAGTGATCCTCCTGCCTCAGCCTCCTAAGTAGCTGCAACTACAGGCCTTCGCCACTATGCCCTGCTCAGCACTCATAATTCATTTTACCATTATAAAATTTTAAAATTCTGCATATCAAAACCTAGCTGGAGACAGCCTACAGTGTGGGAAAGAATTTTTACCAGCTGTTTTCAGACAAAGGTCTACTATCTAGAATACATAAAGAACTCAAAAATATCAGACCCCCCCAAATATAACTTTTTTTTTTTTGGTACTGGGGATCGAACTCAGGTCCTTGCACTTGCACAGCAGGCGGCAAAACCACTGAGCTAAATCCCTGGCCCAAGACCCCCCAGATATAAAAACCTGATTCAAAAATGGGCATCTGAAATGAACAGACATTTCTCAGACAAAAAATTAAAAGCAACAAATAAATATATGAAAAAATGTTCAACATCACTGGTCATTCAAGAGATGCAGATGAAAACAACACTGAGATTCCACCTCTCTCCAGAAAGAATGGCTGCTCTCAAGAAATCAACCAATAACAAATGCTGGCGAGGCTGTGGGGAGAAAGGAACCCTTCTCCATTGTATGTGGGAATGCAGACTGGTGCAACCACTGTGGAAATCAGTATGGAGATGCCTCAGAGAACTAGGACTAGAGGTCCCATGTGACCCAGCTATCCCTTTGCTGAGTATATTTCCAAAAGAATTAAAAGAATCATACCACAGTGATATATGCTCGCCCATGTTTATAGCAGCACAGTTTGTAATAGCTAAAACTTGGAAACATGAAGAAGATGTGGTTTTTCTATAAAATGGAGTACTACTTAGCCATAAAGAATGAGAAAGTAGAGACATTTATAGCTAAATGGACCCACATTGAGGCCATACTCTTAAGTGAAATAAATAGGACACACTTGTAAATACCAAGCAGTTTCTCTGATGTGAAAAACTAAAAGTGTAAATAAGGTTCAAATGGTATAATTGGTAATGTGAGATAGGAAGAAAAGGTCTAAAGGAGTAGGGGAAGTGGGAAGGGTAGGGGAAAGGAAAGAAGAGAAAAGAAAAATATGAGGAAAGGAAAAAATGGAAACAAAGTCTCTGTAAATAGGGAAGGGTGGAGGGGGTGAAGGGAGGGCAGGGAAATGGGGAAAAAATAAGAACTAAGATACATCATGTAAAGGTACAAGATCCCAACAATGAATGTAACTGTTTTATACCTAAAATGTACCAATAAACTTAATGGAAAAAAAAAACCTAGCTGGCCCTTAAAAGATTTAGATAAAGGATTCTGGACTAAAAGAGTAGCATGTACAAATCTAAAACAAAATACTAAATTTGAGAGTGTTGAAAATCATTTTAAAAATAATTCGTAGTCAAGAGAAATTTTCTGTATTAAGTAACCATCACCACATTCTTTCTGTAGGATTGAGCAGTTGATAAGTGAACATGAAGTTGAAATAACAGGACTTACAGAGAAAGCTAGCAGTGCTCGGAGCCAAGCCAACAGTATTCAGAGTCAACTAGAAATTATTCAGTATGTGTGTGCTGAGGGTTTGAAATTGAACTGATAATGGAAATTGATCTTCATTTAAAAAATATTATTTTGACTAATTTTCTGTTCTAATATCTTTTAGCCATTGCTTAGTAATTGATTTCATAAGAAAGAATAGCTTTTCTAATACTTAACTGAACAGAAAAGATGATTTAACATATAGATAATATTATCGGACCATATAAGAAGTATTATTGCAAGTAGTTGGACTTCCTGGAACTGGATGTCTTAAGATTTATTAAACTTCCTAAAATGTACCAATAAAATAAAATTTAAAAAAATTTATTAAACCAATAGGATAAAGCAAACAAGTACACCACATATATATTTGTGTATATATGTATATAATATGGATAAAATATATATGCATATAAAATTTTATAATTTGAGCTAATATGTTAAGATTTTTTTGGAGTGGGTACTGGAGATTGAACCCAAGTTCTTATACATACTAGGCAAGTACTCTATCACTGAGTTACGTTTGCAGTCTTTGTAAAATTTTTATTTTGTGACAGGTTCTTGCTAAGCCCAGGCTAGGCTTAAACTTTGAATCCTACTGCCTCAACCTCTGGGATTCCAGGAGTGCACCACTGTGCCGAACATACTAAGGACTTTTTCTATGGATATTTCCAATTGTATGCAAATATAGAGGGAAATACTATAATGAAATCCCATATACCCATCACCCAGTTTTGGCAGTTAACATTTTTGAGCTAAACATTTTTTTTTTCTTTCTTTCTTTTTTTTTTGGATGCTGAGGATTGAACCCAGGGGGCTTTGTGCATGCTAAGTACACATCTACCACTGAACTCTGCCCCATCTCTGAGTGAAACTTTTAAGAAGCAATTTTGGATAATAAAAAATAGTTGGCCTAGTGATGCCGTGTAAAATAATTAGAGGTAGTGGCCAAAAGCTAGAATATCTTTGGGTGTCACACATATTCTTAGTTTGCTATTTGCTCTTATACCGCTCCCCAACCTGTCTTAGAGAACAAGCAAGAAACCAAAACTCAATGTATATGTGTCATCTCAGTGAACTGGAATCTACTGTTTCTCAGCTGCGTTCTGAATTAAGGGAAGCCAAAAGGATGTATGAAGACAAGGTAAATTTAGATTTTGCTGTTCTGCTTCCAGAGACTATTATATACAAAATCAGCAATATAGTTTTAATAGTTAGCTTGAGGGCTGGAGATTTAGCTCAGTGGCATCGCACCTGCCTTGAAAGTGCAAGGTCCTGAGTTTGATCTCCAGTACCAAAATAAAAAGTTAATTTGAAAATGAAGAATCAAGGTAATAACCTCAGATCAAAATCAGCTTATAAACTGCAGTAGGAAGATGCTAAATTATCTCTTAAACTGTATAGAAACAACAATTTTATTTAAATGGTATGCTCAAATTCATTCTTAGAAAAACATTTTTGCACATTTCAAGTAAGTTTTTAAAAAATAAATTCAAGGGCTGGGGAGGTAGCTCAGTGATAGAGCACTTACTTAGTATGTGTGAGGACCTGGGTTCAGTCTCCAGCACCACTAAAATAAATAAACAAGAAATAAATTTAAAAATAGGACCATATTTCTATTAGGCTTAGCTTATTTTAGTACCGACTGGTCTCTCCCTACCACTCAATATTTTAGGAGACCTACCTCTTCTCTCAACTTCAGTCTTTTTTTTTTTTTGGTACCAGGGATTGAACTTAGGACCTTGCACTTTTGAGGCAGGCGCAGTGCCACTGAGCTAAATCTCCAAACCTCTAATTTAAGTCTTAATCATTGTGTGGCTAGCAGATTGAATTTTAAGATTAAACTAATTAAAAATAAAAATAGGGAAATAAGGGCCGGGGATTTAGCTCAGTGGCTCCGCACCTGCCTTGCAAGCTCAAGGTTCTGAGTTTGATCCCGGTACTGCAAAAAAAAAGGGAAATAAGTCTTCATTTCTCATCATAATTCCTCTTAAAACCAGATGTTAACTATTATTTGATACTATGTTTCTATTCTTTTGTTTTCTATAGCTAAAGAGAAATTATCCAATATCATTATCAATTATTTATCCAGGGTGTAGGTTTTTATTAATTTCAACTATTTGTAAAACAGTAAAGAACCTTACAAACCAGCAAAGAGCTGCCATTCAGAGGTGCTTATGTTCCACATTCCTTGTGGGAAGGTTTGACCACTTGTGATGTTTGTCTGGAGCTATCTCAGTTTGTACCTGCTGTCCAGGGTACTGTTCTGTGATCATTATCTTTCATCTCCAGACTGTCCCAGTTGGGCTCAGGAGGAGGCTGTTTTGGCTCACGTCAGCATGGAAATTAGACCTTAGCCTTTAGCTCCTGTGGCAAGCTAAGGATGGAAAAGGTAGACATGGTTTTACTAAAGCCTAAGCAATGAAGAGTAACATGAAATTGTACAGTGTAATTTCAGCAACAGAGTGGGTCCGTGCAGCAGTGTCTTTCCAGATTCTTGATCACTCTTCACAGTAAGAAATGCAGTTCAGTTTATGAAGCAGTACACACACACAATTGAAGCAAGCTTTACAGAGCAGTGTTTGGCCCATTACACGTCATGTAGGCTGTTTCTGTTTTTGTCAGATGCTGTCTTGATGCTCCTTCATCTGATCTCGTGATTCACTGGTGGATTGCAGGGAATAACATCAACCCTTACATCATTCTTATCTTAAATCCTTCTTAACCACAGCCACCTCCAACTTACACTGCTTAAGGACTGGATGAAAGAAACAACAGCCTAGGGAAGAACATTGGTTCTTTCCTTCTCCTCTGAGGCCTACATTTTGTGTTCCAGTGTCTTTTTTCAGGGCAAGCTTTTCCCCCTGAAGACTGATAGTAGTGGTGCCCACCCATTCTGGGGAGACCAAGCCCACACAGAGGGCATGACCTCACCCCCAGAGCCCAAGCAGAAGGGTGGTCATGATGACAATGCCTCACGGGCTCAGAGGATGCTATATTGCTCTAGAGAGGAAGTAGGAGAGTAGTTGTATTACAGCTCAGTACAATAACTAATATGCATAAATAACTGCTCAAACCATTTTGAAAAGATATTCATTATTTGCTCACAGATTAAATCCTTTAAAAAGCCACAACTTTATTCTCTGGTGTGAGAAACCAAAAGTGTAAATAAAGACTAAAAGGTATAATAGATACTGTGAAATAGGAAGGAAAGGGGCAAAGGGGAAGGGGAAGTGGGAGGGGTAGGGGAAAGGAAAGAAGGGAATGGAATTAACATGAGAAAATGGAAAAATGGAAACAAAGTCTTTGTAAATAGGGAGGGATGGAGGGGTTGAAGGGTGTGCAGGGGAAAGGGAAAAAATAAGAACCAAGAGAGATTATGTAAAGATGCAAATTTCCAGTGATGAACGTCATTATATTGTATACCTAAAATGTACCAATAAAACTAATTGGAAAAAAAAGAAAACGCCACAACTTTAAAATCTGAACTCACCTGTATTTTCTTACACAATTTGTAATTTCTGTAGCTTTCCATTGTAGGGTGGCTTGGAAAAATTAGTCCTTCTTGAGACTCACTCATTGTTTGCTAATTTTCATTTGTGCTGATCTGTAGTTTCATGTTTCTCAACTCTACATGAGGGCATGGTGGAAATTGTAACAAATAATAAAATATCTATCTAACAAATACAAAAATAGTTCCTAGGTTTTTATAAATATTTGTCTCTTTGGCATTCTAGAAGCATCAGAGGAATGACTGTAAACTTTTCATATCAGTGTTTGGGGATCATATAGATTCAAACATATCAGAACCATTATTTATTCTGTTCTAATTTTGAGAGTCTTCCAGAGTAAGCAGTTAGAAATAAAGAGGGCATATTAGCTCTCCTTAAAAACTGTAGGCCTCCATTAAAACTGTAGGCCTCTGAGCTGTTGATAATAGGGCATAGTGAACCTGACAAACAGAGCCAGCACCAAGTTGATGGTTAACTAGGCTCCTAATAGTAACTCCTTTTAGTTTAGCTAAATGCTAAGAGGTGTGTTTTGGGAGCCCTGAAAGATGATTATCTGCCATGTTAATATATATAATTTTATATATATATAATTATATATATAATATATAGTGTAACTGAACAAGGAAAATAAAACAAGTTAATAGAAAGGATTTTGTTTGGGGGGGCTCACAAAAATTCTATTGTTATGAAATCTTTTATACAATTAATACAGCATGTAAAAAGCAAATTCTTCTGCTTATTTTCTTTTATTTTTATATACCTTGACTTCACATGGCTAAAACCTATTAAAGCCTTAAAAATCTATTTTATTTTATGCTGCTTCAGTCTACATTTTATTATGTACTAATCAGATAACAGTAAGGAAGAATGATATTAAAAATATATAAAAACTAATTAAAAATGAGATTTGTGCTGGGCATGGTGGTGCATGCCTGTAATACTGGCACTTGGGAGGCTGAGGCAGGAGGATCACTGCAAGTTCAAGGCTAGCCTCAACTACATAGTGAGTTCAACCAGTCTGTACTGCATATGAGACCCTTTATCAAAAAACAAAACAAAAAAGAGATTTGTGTGGAAAAAACCCTTAAAGGATGCGTTGATATTGAACCTCAGTGTATTTTATCAGTGACAGTATTTCTCCTGAGGTCAGATTCCTACATTTAAATAGTGCTGGGCTGGGGTACAGCTCAGTGGTAGAATGCATTGGTTGATCCCCAGCATCCCTCAGAAATGTTGTTATTGTAAAAATAAAGTGTTTACTATTTCAAAAAAAATCAGTGATGTGACAGGTCTGAACAAAACTGTCCCAAGTAGAATACATGAATTAAAACTCATTTAGGAGGATGTTTCTCTTCAGATTAACAAAAATATTTCCATATTGGTAAAAATAGAAATTGTGGTCAGAGAAAATTTTAGATGTAGTTTTTGTAGCTGACCAAAGTGTTTTATTGTAATGCTATTTTCTCTTCTTCTCTCCATTTTAGGAGAACCTCCTAGAATTCCCCTTTTTGAATTTGGACCAGTAGAAGCTGTCACTATTGGCTCTGTAGACTTGGCTTTACTCTTAACTTTCGCTTTTGACAACAAAAACACTTTATGATCTTAATTCTAAGTTTATTTTCCTACTTTGAAAGCATTTCGGGCTGAATTTCATGCTCTGAAGGTGAAGATTTCATGGCACTGGCTGGAGCTAGTCCCTGTGCTAGAAGAGGCTGAGCAGACACTTGGCATAGCTGTTCCAGTGCGCCTTCGTGCTGGCCTGCAGCAGCCCTTCCTGTGCCATGGCTGTGTCTTTTTGAGCACAGAAAAAACAAAAACACCTACCAACATGGCAGCACCAAAAAACTCGCCCAAAACAGAATCTTATGTGATTTGATACGATTGCTAATATTCCTAAAATCAATGTGACATTGGAATGAGACCCCCCAGTACTCATTTGTGCAGTGATCCAAACCAAAAAATGGATTCAAAGATGGTGAAAGGGAAAACCAGTGCTATTACCTCAAAAGAAAAGAAAAAGAAAAAAATTTTACCGTATCTCAGATGTCAATGTTTTTTCTGGACATTTTAAAAGGTAGTATTTTTCACAGCTGTTTATATCAGCTCAGCTGCTACTTTAGTGGTTTTCCCTTTCACTCTCCATTTATCTTTTTGATTAATTCATATAAATGTTTTTGCTCTAAAAAGTGAAAGGTAAAAGCAGAGCTATAGCAGCTGAGTCAGTACTGACAAGACCAAACTGTTTTCCCGCAGGGGTCTGGAGGGGCTTCGATACTTAATGAGCAGATGGAAAGATAAGACTTCATTAACTTGCTCACTTTTCTTGTTTTTCATTTTCTTTCTTTTTTTTTCTTTCTTTCATTTTGTTCTTATAGATTTTACCATCAAGTCTGATGTTACGAAATGGTCAATCCAGAGTTTTTTAAGTAAGAACCTTAAAAAAGCAAATTTTAAGTTTTTACGGCAAAAATACAAATAATTTATTTGCTCAAGAATAGAAAGGGTTTATGTCAGGCTGAGAGGAGAAAATGTTTGAGTTAGTCATCTGATTAACTTAAATTGTTCTTGTTAAAAATTAATACCTCACAAGACAGGGAATACAAAATTTCGGCTGTATTGATACTGCTTTTGTGTAAAGCAGCATTAGAAACAGAATGTAGAAGAACAGAGAGATGATCTAGAGTACTCTTTTCAAATCATGCACACACACACAAAATTGAGGCTGCAAGGCTGTGACAGAACCTGGAGCAGAACCTGAGGCATTTGGCCCTTAGCCTGATCTGTGCTTCTCAGATCACCGCTCCCCTACTTGCCCACTCCTGGCCTGGCACACAGAGCCACTGTGAAACGGAAGTCTGTGGTTCTCCTAGCTGGCCTTGATGGCTTGACTAAGTGTGTGCTTTCTTAGTTCCTGATAATGATAGAACCAGAGGCTATGTCCACTGATACTGTTCATTCATCTTGCTCAGAAAATTACTTAAGCTAACAATGGTTAAATTTTAAAATGAGGTGGGTTTTTTTGTTGTTTGCTTGTTTGTTTTTCTGTGTCCCAAAAGGAGAACAAGCATGGAAGTTTTTTGATTTTGGGGTTTTTTTTGTGTGTGTGTGTGGTACAGATAATTAAACCCAGGGCCTTGTCCATGCTAAGCAGGCACTCTACTTCTGAGCTACATCCCCAGCCTCAGCATACCTTTGTATGGGATTATTATAGTCAAGGAACATATTTTAATCAGTAACTTACCATTGTATGCATTATTAATTCCTAAGAAATACTTTTTATAGATAATATACACTCAAATACAAAGTCAGTTTAAAAACACAGGCAATGTAAAATATTAAAATCTATATCCTGAACTGTGCAGGCTGGGATACTATACTGTAGGTAAATGTGAAACTGTTTGATAATCCTACATTAGTGCTTAAGTCACATGTGTATGTATAAATATGTAGAGATATATAACTTCATGTATTCACACTTATCATTTATCAGCGATAGTTGGATATATGTATGTATATATAATATGATTAATTATATTTGCATTAATGAAGATTTTAAATGAACCTGGTCCAAGTAAAAATAAACTAGAAAATTATCAACAAAAAGTTTGTCTTGGTTGTATGTTCCCTGGTTAAAAAAAAAGTTTAATCACAATACATTTCCAAACTAAGCTTTATTCTTGACGTAGAAGATTTGGGAGCATACCGACGAGAAGCCTTAGAAGAAAGAAGTGATATGTAGCATTTGTGCAGATATAAAAGACTTCTTCTTCCTGGAATTCCTGGAAAGTAGATGATAGAATAGTACTATAGGTATTACAGTTAAACATCAGGTATCACTTTATAACAGTGAGTACTGACATGTTCTCATTTTAATATTTTGTTACCTGTTATGTTATTGTGTGACTCAGCTAAAGTCCAAACTAGAGTCTTCCGAACCTGAGATCTCAACTCAGATGGTGTTGTATGGAAGATGGTGGACAGTGGGGGCCCCATTAGCAGTGAAGCAGCCTCTGACCTCTGCTAGTGGTGCAGCTGGCTGGGAACCTAGGAAAGGAAATGTTCTGCATCCGTTTGTACAATAGCAGTGGTAGAGTAGAATAGAGTTCCCTCTTCATTCAAACAAATCACAAACAGCTGCCTTGTCAGTGAGAAGAAAATATGCTTATAACAGTCCTTTAAAATTGGTACTCTTATTCCCATTTTATAGTTAATGAAAATGAGGATTTGAGTGGTAAAATAAAATTGTCCAACTGTAAAATATATATTCACATATCAAAATGTAGTGGCTAATGTAACTTGTTATTCTTTTATATCAATGCATTTTATTCTTGAACCTCTGATATTCTAAGTCAAAATGGCTTTTCTAACATAATCCAGTTTGTTAGTGTGGGCTCTGCAGAATGTTATTTATGTCACGGTAGCTTCCTATTACATGTTCCCATGTAATATGTGCCTTCCAAATTACATGTTCTCATCCTTGACCTGAGTACCCATCACATGGATATACTCAATCTGTGAAGTTAAATGGACTGTAAACATATGATTTATAATTTTCTGAGTTATTCTGGATTTATCTATAATTGTTATATCTAAACATGTTTTTAAAAGTTAATAAATAATACTTTTTTGAGGTTGAAAAGACCAAATTACAGAACATATCTTGAAGATAAATGTTGGCTAGTATAAACATTAGATGTGTTACAGACAATGCTCAAATCCAGTGCTACCAAATATTTTATTTTGTCTAATTTCCCTGGCTAAATACTGCATAGATTTTTTTTTTCTGGTATGGGGGATTGAACTCAGGACCTTGCACTTGTGAGGCAGGCACAGTGCCCTTGAGCTAAATCCCCAGCCCAATAATCCATAGATCTTAAGTTTAGAAAACTTTGTGAAACATAACACAATAAACTTATTTTTGCCCTCCACGTAATACCAATTCTCAAAGATGTTTGTTTTCTGTGATCCACCAACATAGTCAGACTCTTTTCGACTTGTATTTTTTTTTAGATAGAAGAGCTGGAGAAGCAGTTAGTCCTGGCCAACTCAGAGCTCACTGAAGCACGCACAGAACGGGACCAATTCAGTCAGGAATCTGGAAATCTGGATGATCAGCTTCAAAAGCTATTGGTAAGGCTGTACTCTAAAATATGAATGAGATTAATTCTGTGAAGCTTTGCATCAAAACATTTTACAAACTAGTTTCCTTTATAAAATTACAAATTTTACAAAATATCCATGTGTATGTACAACAGTATTCTAGACACTCTTCATGTGCTGCACATAAAATATAATACTGTATGCTTTTTTTCATAAGTACAGTTGTTATGGTGTGAAGAAAGGGAATCTTCAAGTAGCCATAGTCTTCTTTTGTTTGTTTTGTTCGTTTTTTGAGACAGGGTCTCACTGTGTAGCCCAGGCTACCCTTGAATTCGAGGCAGTCCTTCTGCCTCAGCCACCCCCCCCAAGTGCTGGGATTACAGGTGTGTGCCACCACGTATGGCTTTGCCATAGTCTTTCAGGTAGAACTATATTCTAATTGAAGTAGTGTTGAGTGTTGATTTTAAAGCCAAATAGCATTCAGAACACAAATTGTGTATGTAGAAATTCTGAGGAAGTTTGAAGGAATTTTTAGAAACAGACAATGGGATTATTATGGAGGCTGCAGAGCCTGTCCTCTATTAGAGGCACCACAGGCTGAGAGGCCTGGGAAAGGTGGTGCTGGGTTCAGCAGAATATTTTTCTCTCTCTGCCCAGCCCCAGGCTAGACATCCTGCCTGGCTGCTGGAGCCACCATCATTCAAGGCTGCAAGGGCTGAAGGGCTGTGGGAAAGGAGGAGCTGACAGCTGTGTGCCAGCCACTCTGCACTTTGGAAAGTTCCCTCCCCTCTTGCCTGAACCTGAACCCTCTTGCCTGAACCTGAACCCTCTTGCCTGAACCTCTGTGACACCCACAGAGTGCTCCCCAGTGTTCTTGTGCTCTCAGTACAGGATTTTTGTTCCTTTCACTGGGTGTTTAAGTGACTAAAGAGGGAAGCAATTCTATATTCACAGCTCAGATGTCCCTAGTCTGCCATTTTTTTGGGAAAGGAGTTTGAGACAGGGTCTCACTATGTAGCCTTATGTACTCTCTGTGTAGCCCAGGCTGACCTTGAACTCATGGCAGTCCTCCTGCCTCAGCCTCCTGAGTGTTGGGATTACAGGCCTGGGCCACCACACCTGGATGCCATTTCTGAAGCAGTATAACAAATTAGCATTGTTATTCCTTTAAGCTTTTGAGCATTTGTTTATTACAGGAGCACACTTGGCAGGCAGGACAATGTCTTTGTTCAAAAATCCAGAACTTAAAAACAAGATGACTTCTTAAATCAAAGGCATTTTCCTTTTCAATGGATATTATTAGAGGTCCAATCCCTTGAGATTGACTTGTAATGCTAAAAATGTCAAGTAAGCAAAATGTTAACTTAGGTTTCTAAGAACTTATCGCTTTTCTTGTTTTAGGCAGATCTACACAAGAGGGAAAAGGAGCTGAGTCTGGAGAAGGAGCAGAACAAGCGTCTGTGGGACCGAGACATGGGCAACAGCATCACCATTGACCACCTGCGGCGGGAGCTGGATGACCGGAACATGGAGGTGCAGCGCCTGGAGGCCCTGCTCAAGACCATGAAGAGCGAGTGCCAGGGCCAGATGGAGCAGCAGGTGGAGTATGCGGCCTCTGCTGGGGGACATATGTTTGCTGTCCACTGGTTGAAACTTTCCTTTTTGTTTTTGAAATGGGGTCTCAGCCCAGGCTGGTCTCAAGCTACTTAGCCCAAGGGCTCTTCCCAGTTTGGCCCCTGGTAGCTAAGACTGCAGGTACACTGCTACACCTGCCTTGGACTTTCTCATATTAGTGTTTTATTATAAAATAGCTCTATGATAGAGCTATGGATTCTGAGAACAATTTTTAAAAACTTTGTTTTTATTTCCCTATTTTTGATTATTTGTTAAATGAAACATTTTAGGCATTATCTCAACTGTATATTATTGAAAAACTTAAACTCTTATCCCAATGCTTTTTCGTTTTCACATAGAAATTGGTAATCTACAAATTCCTTGTTTCTAGTACAGAAAAGGACCAAACTGTTGGAAAGTCCAAGGAGCACCAGGCTTGGAGGTTTATAACAGATATATTTTGGTTTGGGGTTTCTCCCAAATGCGGTGGCCCCCTGTCCATCCCCTGCCCTGTACCAACAGGCTGCTGAGTGCATTCCATCAGAGCACATGAGCAAAATGGGGGCGGCTTTCTTGCCTGTAGATCACTGCGGTGCTGAGAACACAATTCTAATGCTGGTGACACCCACAGAGGCACACAGACCACCCCACACTAGGAAAGCCAAGTAAAGGATCCCATCTTATCTTAGACCAAGGCAAAGCTGTGTCCCTGTCCTCTGGCCTGACTTGGGCAGGAAGAAAGACACAGAGCAAGTGTAAGCTAGGATCATCCCTATTTCCAAACCAGCACGAGAGGACGTGAATGTGGGTTGGGTAACAGCCCTTCTTTTTCCCTCACAGGTAGAATTAAGAGGGGAATTGGAAGGAAACAAAATGAGAGCAGTTCTTATCACCCTCCCTCCAACCACCACTATTGTTGTCTTAATCTAAAGTAGTACAGAAATGACCTCAGAGGGAACTTCCCAGGTTTCCCAGCCTGAAAACCATTGTGGAGAAGCATCATTATTTCATTAAAGTCTCTCCACTATGGTGTGAGAGAGTACAGTGGGGTGTACACAGGCTGTTCATCTAAGATGTGATGGTAAAGTAATTCTAGTTAGTGTACCTACACTTCATCCAATCTAGAATTTCACGGCTCGCAGCTAACTTGTCCAAGCCCCTGGGGTTACCTGTACCTGTCCTCCCAAATCCAGGAGGCTCTCTCTTGTCTCCCATCAGATGGCAGCGATCCAGGGAAAGAATGAGAGTCTGGAGAAAGTGTCCTCCCTCACTGCTCAGCTCGAGTCCACCAAGGAGATGCTGCGCAAAGTGGTGGAAGAGCTAACAGCCAAGAAGATGACCCTGGAGAACTCGGAGAGGACGGTATCAGACCTGACAGCTTCCCTGCAGGAGAAAGAGCGTGCCATAGAGGCTACCAACTCAGAAATCACTAAGCTTCGCTCCCGCGTGGACTTGAAACTGCAGGAGCTGCAGCACCTAAAGACTGAGGAGGAGCACCTGCAGCATGCACAGACTGAGTGCGAGGCCCTGCGGCTGCAGATGGCAGGGAAGGACAAAGTGATCGAGATTCTGCGCCAGCAGATTGAAAACATGATGCAGCTGGTGGGCCAGCATGGACGCACAGCGGGGGCTATACTGGTAGAAAAGGCCCAGCTGGAGAAAGAGATAAATGATAGGAGACTGGAGCTGCAGGAGTTTAAGGTCTGTATATCTGTGTTGCTTTAGCATCTGAAATTTCTTTATTTCTCATAAAGAAGTATGGCCTTAGTGAAAAGGAGCTCTTGGTTTCTGAGGATCCTCTGAAACAGAAAGTATTCATATCTATGTACACATGTGTGGTTTTTTTGAGAAAGGATCCATGGTTTTATCAAATTCTGAAAGGAGTGATGGCCCAAAATTGAGAATTTTCTACTGCTGAAGCTTTTCTTGATTATACTTTTTTAAATGGCCAAATTCACCATGAAAATGACATATAAAGGCTTCTCAATAGCCAGCCCTACAATGAAAACTTTAGAATAGCTTTGGATGCTGGGGAAACATAACAGGAGAGAAAGGATGATCATTCTGCCTTCTTGCTGAGGAAGATGAGTTGCTAATGTTCTTAAGGCAACAAATGCAGGAATCCTACTGAGTCTTACACTCTAAAAGTTAAATGAATTTAATCATCACAAAAACCTTCTGAGGGAGGCACTTTATTATCCCACTTTACAGATGAGGAAACTGAACACAGCAATGTGAAGTAACTTGCTTGAAAGCAGTACTCTTTGGGTCTGTATCCGGGGTAGTATACAAGGGCTTCTTAAAATGTACAAGATGTGTTTAAATTTTTAAAAAAGTATTACAGTAGAAGACACACTACCCTTTATTCCCCTCAAAAATACTGCACCTCACTTTAAACACACATATCCCATTGTTCTTGCCATTTTCTAAAGCAGTTCTGGAAGTCCTCTTTCATGAGTTTTTTTTTTTATAAGGTATGATAAAAAATATGATAAATGCTGCTGCCAGGTGCCATCCAGTAGAAAGGCAGGCTCATGAAAACATTTTGGTGTTTCCTCATCCACCTTATTCACCAGATCTTGTACTGTGTGAGTCAGAAAAACAATGAAAGGCAAAAGTTTTGAAGTGAGTCAGGACATGGAGGTAGCCACAACAGCACAACTAAAAAAAAATTATGAAAGAGGACTTCCAGACTACATCAGAAAGTGGCAGGAGTGATGGGATAAGTGTGTTTAAAGAGAGGGAGGGTATTTAGAGGGGAATTATGGCAGTGTGTCTTTTACTATGATACCTTTTTTTTAAGTTTAAACACTCATCTTAATTTTTAGTTTTTGATCATACTCCATTAAGTGAAACTGCAGACTTTTCAGATCATTTAGTTCTGCCATTTTCTCTTGATCTCATTGTTGGTCTGGCTAAAAGCAGCCAGCAATACTCATGCTGCAGCTTGAACATTGGGTTGCCTTGAAATATGCTCCACCAGATTAATAAGTCTACCAACTTTAAATTCAACTCACACAAAGCCTTAGAACATGGGCGATATGTCAACAGATTTTCTGCCAGAGTATAACACACATGGCTTCTAGTTCAACTGGCAATGGAGTCCTTATTCCCAACTGAAGCCTACTGAGCCTGGCCTTTAATGTCCATGTTCCTGTTAGCATTCTGGTCTTCTGAGCTCTAGCTAGAATTATCTATGCAGCTCTGTTTCAGAGTTCTAAAGAGCTTCTCTAGCCCACATCACCAAAACTTTGCAAACTTCTCCTGCAGACCATTTCCAAAAACTTCCAAACTATGTGGTCAGGTACAATCACAGCAATAGCCCCGCTTCCTTGGTACCAGTCTTCTGTATTAGTCATGTACCAGTCACTGGGACAAAATACCTGACACTTTCAACTTAAAGTAAGAGAAGTTTATTCTAGCTTAAGGTTTTTAGAGGATTTAGTTCATGGTTGACTGGCTGTAAACCAGAATGGAATAGAGGAAGAGCATGATGATGGAGGACAGCTGCTTACCTCATGGCCTCCAGGAAGCAGAGAGAAAGGGAGGGGCCAGGGACAAGAATACACCCTGCTAGGTCATGCCCCCCAGGGACCCCCCCCCCCCCGTCTTCCTACCACTCCCTACCTCTGAATGCCTAGACTTCTGGGAGACATTTTAGATCTAAACTAGAACAGACAGGAATTGGTAAACAATTGGGTATTAGTGTGAGGGCAAGAGAAATACTCAGCCAACTTTAAGGCTTCAAGCTTATATGTGTGAGAGACTGGCATCATTGTAGTGCTCCTAATAGAAGAACCAGGAGGAAGTTGAGAGGAAACATCCTCTGTGAAGGACTAGGAATGCTTTGGTCAAGAGTTTGTAGAAGCATAGAAGGTGGGAATTTCTGACAGTTAGTTGGAAATGCTAAATTAGAATTTCCATATTCATATTTTCTATTCTGTTCAAAAGAGCAGATCCAACTACCTTGAACCACCCTAGTCTAAGCTACCACCTTCCTCATTTGCTCTTCCCATCATCTTCTGGCTGGCTTCCATACTTCTACTCTTACCCCAAGCCCACAACTGTTTATTCTTTGGACAGGAGCCATAGTTACAGTTTTAAAACATTACATCACTTCCAGTGACTTCTTATCTCACTCAGAATGGAGTCTCAAGTCCTTAAATTGACTCTGTGGCCAGGTTGGTCCCCGCATGGGTCCCAATCTGACCTCATCTTCTATATTCCTCCAGGTTCACTTCATTTCAAGCATACCGATGGCATGCTTCTCCTGTGCCTGGAGCTCTCCCCCAGCTGCCCACTGAGCTCTTTCATCTCCTTGAGGTGTTTGGGTTTTTTTTGGGTTTTTTGTTTGTTTGTGGGTTTGTGGTTTTTTTTGAGACAGGATCTTTTTTTTTTTTTCGATACCAGGAATTGAACTCAGAACCTTGCACTTGCCACTTGAGCTACATCCCTGGCCCCAATGAGACAAGATCTTGTTGTGTAGTTCAGGCTGGCTTACTGTGTAGCCCAGGCTGGCCTCAAACTCACAGCAATCCTCCTGCTTCAGCCTCCCAAGTGCTGGGACTACAGATGTGCACCACATGCCTGGTGCCTCCTTAAGGTTTCTGCTTAGATGTCAGCTCATCAGTGAGGCCTTTCCTGACCAACTGTATCAGGATCCCTAAGACTACTAACCCTAAGTTGGATGATTCTCTGAGAGGACTCATGGGACTTAGCCTAGAGTCACACTCATGACTATGATTTATTACAGCAAAAGGAAACAAAGTAAAATTGGCAAAGAGAGAAGGCAGGTGGGCACAACCCAGAGAAAACCAATCTTCAGGCTTCCCAGAGTCCTCTCCTAGCCTAGTTACACAGGACACACAATTTCCTGGCAAGATACTGTGAGACCACCTATCAACTATGGCCCACAGAGAGTCTCATTCAGGACTCAGTACCCAGTACTGGGGCTGGTCATGTAGGCACCCTTCATCTGGTACATAGGCAGGTTCCAGCCTCCCAGAAGAAGGGCAGGTGCTCAGCATAAGCGTGTGGTTTGCATAGACAGCTGTGACACTGAGCCCCTCTTAGCACTGGGGACAGGTGCAGTCCAAGTTCCCAAATGCCAGCCCAGGGCCGGCCTTGTGGTCAGGCCTTTCTCAGACAGCATCAGGCTGCTATCTAAACACTTCTTTGCATGCCAGCCATTGTCAAGTAGCAACCCCCGACCAGTGCGTTCTCACTCCCTCCTTTTTCATTCTTCTTGTCACTTCTCTTACCTGAAATTAAACATATTTGCTGTCTGTTTTTTCTCATTGCAGGTACACATGAGGGCAAACACATTGTTTAGTTTGTTTACCGCTAGCCAGTACTAGGACTAGGGTAAGGCAAGAGAGTCAGCTGGTTGGAGGTTCTATTTACCTTCCCTAGTCCTGGCCTGCTTCTTCATCCTGACGTGTAAAATAGTGCCTGCCACAAAGTAGGCGCTCAATATGTATTTTTGAATGAATGAATATAGAATAGAAATAATGAAAGGTTGTGACAAATGATACAGGGAATTGACATCTAAGTTTAAAAGAAAGGTGAAATATTCCATTTGCCCCCACTTGTTATCCCACTTATTATCAATGCTTTATAATGCTTTATAATGAAATTTGGTGTCTTGAGAAATAATGAAAAAATACTAAATACAGATAGAATACAAATGGTATCAGTTATAACTTGTACATGTCCATGTTTTTTACTTCTTTCTCTATCCCTGCCTTATGTTTAGGTTTTAAAAGATAAGAAAGATGCCAAGATTCGGGAGCTTGAGGCCAAAGTGAGTGACCTGGAATTGGAAAAGGTGAAACTGGTGAATGCAGGCTCTGAGCGGCTCCGGGCTGTGAGGGACATCAAACAGGAGAGGGATCAGTTACTAAATGAGGTGAAGAACAGCAGGAGCGAGCTGAACAATCTTTCAGGTATGTTGATTCAGTTCCAGTCCTACTACAGTACAGGAGTCCTGCTAGAGAAGGCCAGCACAGTTCCAAAGGAAGGGTATCTCAGCTGACATTGCAAATAGAGATGGTTATGCTGCCCAGCCAGCAAGTCCCATACTGAGTTTCCAAGAAAAGGGTGAGATATCCAGATGTCAGGAAGGCACATATTCAGCACAAGTCATATCGTTTGCACATTTTTTTTATGGAAGTAGAAACCTTGAATCAGGCAGTTTGATTGGAAGTTCAATAATGAAGTGAAATGTGTAGAACTTATGTAAGCTTATTGAAGGGAAAAATCCAAGGCCTTACATTAAACAATGAAACTACTAGCTTATAATTGGTATAGTCCAGTATCACATACTTCGTATGCATGCACACACACAGAGTGAGTAACTACACCGGACAATAGTCAGTTTTAGAAAGACTTCAGTGACACAGTCTAATGGAGAGTCAGACCCCTAGAGAGAGTGGAGCCATGGGCTCACAGTACAGTGACATGTACTGCACACAGAGATGGCACTGACACAGAGAATACTAGCCTCCTAAAGGAAGTGATGTCTGGGTTAGGCTTGAAAGAAGGAAAGGTATTTGGCAGATGAATGAGGTGGAAGGACATTCCAAGCAGAGGTAACATCATGGGCAAGAGTTTGAAGGTGTGAAAAGCACAATATGACCTCAGAAGTGTTACTTGGAGCAAAAACACAAAGGAATGAAGTAGAGCCAGAAGTATGGAGCCAGCAAGAATGTTAAGTACTGTAGAACACTGTTGCAGCAGGTGAATAAAAGAAAGAGAGGCTAAAGAGACAGATAACAGCCAGTTAGAGGTCTTCACAGTAGTCCCAGGAAATATGAAAAATTGAAGGAAGGCAGTGACAGTAAGAACAGATAAGAATTAAGAATATTTTTAGATGTTGGATCAATAGGACTTAGTGATCAGAGGAGTGAAGTCTAACTCTTGGGTTTGTAGTTTGTGGTGTTGGGAGGACAATGCTAGTAACAAATAAGGAGGAACCTAGGGAAGGGGCATGCTTGAAGGCCAAAATGTGAGACCCTTTGCCTTGGGCACTTGGCTTTGGGTGGCACTGGGATAACTATGTGGAGATGTCTGGGTAGATAGAGCTAGATCTTTGTTTTCTTTGAGTATAAATCTATACTATACATACATACATAGATAAATATAGTAGACAAATAAGTGAGTGTGCCTATCCTAGTATATTGAAAGATGAATTTTTGCTAGGTAGTTTGCTAAGTACTGGAGAAGTACAGATAAAATGATAAGATAGGACTAGGGGTGCAGCTCAATGGGAAAGCACTTACCTAGCATGTAAAAAGCCCTGAGTTCACTCCCCAGAATCTCAAAAAAAAAACAAAAAAAAAAACGGCATATGACAGTCAAGTTAAAAAAATAAAAATAAGCCAGTTGGGATTGTACATGCTTGTGATATCAGCATTGAGGGAGACTGAGGCAGGAGAATCACAACTTCAAGTCTTACCTGGGCAACTTGGCGAGATCCTGTCTCAAAATTTTAAAATTTTTAAAAAGGTCTGCAGACATATCTCAGAGATAGAGTACCCCTGGATTTGACCTCCAGTACCAAAAAAAAATAAATGAAAGATGATAGATAGATAGATAGATAGATAGATAGATAGGTAGATGAAAATAAAAATTTAAAAGGACACATGGTAATCTCAGGTTACTTTATTTTAGTGTGATAGAGATTCATCTAACTACAGATAGTGGTGAAATCTGTCATGGTGGATATAGTCATCCAAGAAGAAGATTTAAGATGAAAGAGAAGTGAGCTTCTTTTGCAATGGTTTGGGAAAGACAATAAATAATAAATGAATAGAGGAGGAGGATGATCCATTCAAGCAAATAAGAAGAGAGTCCTGCAGATCCCTGGCAATGTCTATGTCCATCTCATTTCTGTAATAAATGGAGAAGTAGCTAAATGAGTTCTCTTCCAGCCTCTAACATTCTGTGATCATTACTTACAAATATATTTCATATTAGTGGGATAGAAAAAAGTAACCATCAGGGCCAGGGATTTAGCTCAGTGGTTTCGCTGCCTGCTACGCAAGCACAAGGACCCAAGTTCGATCCCTGGTACCAAAAAAAAAAAAAAAAAGAAAAAAGTAACCATCAATTATTGATAATTGTTTTATATAGAGGACTATGAAGTCTTAAAAAGAAATTTTCGAAACAAGAGTGAGGAAATGGAAACTACTACAAATAAACTGAAAATGCAATTAAAATCTGCGCAGTCTGAACTAGAGCAAACAAGGAATACCCTAAAGTCAATGGAAGGAGCTGATGGTCATGGTATGTTCTGTTTCCTTTCTTTTCTGTTTGTAATTCCATTGGCCTCGATTATTAAAATACAGAACCCACCACCTCTTCACTGTGCCAGGTGATGTGAGCAAAGCTCAGCCATAGACACTGATGGTGGTTGTCAGGTAGCACTAGTTCAACTTGGCTTTTAAGAAAACTGCTTAATTTAATCCTTAATATATCTAAAATCCCTGAAGTATCTGAATCTCCCTTTTCTTCTGTGGCTATTTCAATAATTTTAACAAATTTCACTATATGGAAATGTCAACTAATTATTTTTAAGGTATAAATATGTCATTGATAATCTCTATTCAACCTATTTTTCCCATGTGCATTATTTACATCAACTATCTACATCATGTATAGATTTATGGCTAACTAGTAGTTCCCGTTTTCTTTTCTGTGATAAAAATAGAAGGAGTAGGGCTGGGGATTTAGCTCAGTGGTTTCGCCGCCTGCTGCGCAAGCGCAAGGACATGAGTTCAATCCCCAGTACCAAAAAAAAAAAAAAAAAATAGGAAGGAGTGGGCTGTGGGTGCAGCTCAGTGGCACAGTGCCTGCCTGGCAAGCACAAGGCCTTGAGTTCGATTCCTGGTACAAGAAAAAGAAAGAAAGATAGGAAGGAGTCCTGGTAATGGAACTCGAGGATGAGGTGTACCTTGTCATCCCCTGGATGTGTTCCCTTTGTCCCTTACTGCCCACACTGACCCAGATAGGCATTATCTTAATGATATTAATGAGTATTATCTCATTGCATGGATGTGGTACTGTGTTCTTTCAGTTTTTCCTATCGTTGTTATGGCTATGTTAGCATGTCTCTGGGTTGAGTCTGAGAGTTTTCCAAACTGAACTCACCCCACTCGCTGTAGCATTCTCTCTGACTCCCATCACAAAAAACAAATTTTTAAGCCGTGCCAGAAAGAGCCATGAGTAGCATTTGTTAGGCAGAGACAGAAATTATAGGACACATTTGAGGGGCGTGTGGGCCTGCAGAGAAATGAGACATATTATAGTTTGGGACTGGGCACATTTATACTTTTCTCAAGGGAGTGAAAAGCTAGGGAAAATGTGCCCACCCATACCCCAACCTCCCCCTCAAAAGGGTCCCAGCCTAGACTCAGCAAGTATGGATTTTTTTTTTTGGTGCCGGGGATTGAACTTGGGATCTTGCACTTGTGAGGCAGGCAGTGGAACCACTGAGCTAAATCCCCAGCTGGATTTTTTTTTTCTTTGCTAGGGGATTTAAACATTTTCTGGATTCACTCAACCTGTTGTTTACTTTCTTAATTGAGCCAATTTATAGGCTTCCAGTGATAGGTCTGGTAGGGAAGGTGTATACATCTGGCCAAGTTTATTGACACTGGGACTGTCCTTAGGTCAGGGCCAGCCTCCTATTTCTTAATTTCTTAATTGAGCCAGTTTATGGCCTTAAGAGTGAATTTGGTAGGGAAGAGGTGTAAATCTAGCCAAGGAATGTTGGCATGGGGCTGCCTTGGGTAGCTTTGGCTAAGTCCTGGTCCTAAGTCCTAAGTCTTCTTAAAAATATAATTTTTAGTTATGATTTCCTTGTCTTCCTTCTACCTTTTATTTCTCCTATCCTACCTGAAGCTGACTGTAAGAATATTTACCAAATTAAAGTACACATTTTTCTGAGCTGGGGTGTAGTGCAGTGGTTGAGCACTTACCTAGCATTCACAAAGCCCCAGGTTCAATCCCGAGCACTATAAAAAAAAGAAAAAAAAAAGACTAAAGTATACATTTTTTATTTCTCAGTATTTTTTAGTGTTAAAAGACTTACAAGGTATTTTGGTAGAACATGTACTAAAATTGGAATGCTACACAAGAGAGCACTGTAATCCAAGTGCAAGGGTGACATGTACCTTCTAAACTGCTCCTATTTTGTGTGGTACTTGGCAGTTTGGCTATATTAGTTAACATTAACAAAATGGTGGTGTTTGGAGAGATGGCCTAAAAGGTCCATTCTGGTTCCGGCTCTGTAACCAGACCCCAGGGAGTATCCCTGTCTCAGTACCCTCAGACATCTCCAAAGCCACTGAGTCCCTGCTGCTATTATTATTATTATTATTATTGTTATTATTATTATTATTATTTTAGAGGATTTAGCTCAGTGGTTCCACCACCTGCCCCGCAAGTACAAGGACCTGAGTTCGGTCCCCATTACCAAAAAATAAACAAACTAAAAAATTAAAATTAAAAATTAAAAAGGGCTGGGGCTGTAGCTCAGTATGATGGCCCTGGGTTCAATCCCCAGTACTGCAAAACAAACAAACAAACAAAAAACAGTTTAAACTAAAAAAGATTTGTTTGAGAAAATTAAGACCAACCATGACCCACTGAATCAAACCAGAATTCTTCCAACTGGTGAGCAAATATCAGACTTTGGATTTATTAATAAATCAACACACTGTGCCTATATTAACCCTGTTTCTGTTTTTTACCAGATTCAATATAAGGACCATACCTTGCTAATAAGAAGTCAGACCTTTCATTTTCTCTGCTAATTTGTTTTTAATGAATTGTACATTTTCTTTTTTCTTTTTAACCTGTAAGCTAAAACCAGACCCATTTCAAAGCAGTGGCATTTTTAAACCTCTTTTCTCAACTAACATTAAAGAAAGAAAACCATAGGGTCTTCTGACTGAATTCTTGAGGAAGGTTAGGCTTTCTATATCTTTGCAATGGCCTGTGATGTCTTAAGTCTTCTGTGCCTCAGACTTGACTAGAACCTTCTCATCTTATCGATAGTTTTCCAAAAGTAATGTGTGTGCTTCTGGTGGCAGTCCTGCCACGGAGATTGTAGTGAGTTTCTACCATGTGACACTGACTGTAAGACTGACAATTGAATGTTTGTGGTATCACTGGAATCTTTAAGAAGATCATTATTAGTAGGTGTCTTAAGGTATTTTAAATATCAGTTTCTGAGAAAAGTATTTTAGCAACACTAAATATACATTATTCCTTATATCAGAAGGTATTTTTATATATGTATTTCCTGTATATATGAGTTTGGTCAGTATTATTGTTACCTTTGGAAATATGGCATCTTATAGTGGTCAATGAAATTAATTCCAGTAGCAGAAAGCCCAAGAGGCATAAATTTTGCCAGCTCAGAATCTCTGGGTAGTTGCTGAAAATTGTTATATTCCACTGTTGTGAATCCAGAAGGCTTTTGTCTCTTGAAAATGCCCAAGTGCTCTGAAGAATATTACTTGTCACCTTCCTATAAATTACCGTAGCAAACCACAGTACAAATCTCAGTGGCCTCTTAAACTTTTTAAGGGTTAAAAACTAAAGCACAGATTTCTTTTTTTCCCCCATCACCAGCTGTGAAAGTGGCAGTGGGTATGCAAAAGCAAATCACAGCCAAAAGAGGTCAGATAGATGCCCTTCAAAGCAAGATCCAGTTTTTGGAAGAGGCCATGACAAATGCAAATAAGGTAGGTCCCTGTCCCACAGTGGGGGACACCAACATGCTCACTCATTAATATACTGCAGGACAGAATAGGACACAGCAGAGATGCAGAGTGCAGGGGCAGAAGCAAAGCTTACTTATGACTGAGAGAAGGGGAGGCAGGGTTCCTGAAGGAGAACTGGAGCAGGTTAGCTAGTGTTTTAACTATAGGAAATGGTCAAAGGACATGCCTGGTAGAGGAGAGAATGATTATAAACAAAGTACACCCAGACCTCCAATTCTGTTACACTGTGACGTGTATGTTCCTAAAATCCACTGTGCTATTCAGAATTGTGCAGTAAAACCACAGTTTATGGAAACAATGGGATTAGCAACACCACATTACACAAATTTCATCTGGGACACAGAAAAGTAGGAACCTAGTCAAAGTGGTAGCGCTGTTTTATATATGTTAAATAGTTAAGAAATATTATAATAAGTACAACCCTTTATCTTAAAAACAATTAGAAGTGTGTTGTGAAAATGTCCGTGAAGGATTGTACCTTATGTATTACTATGAAGGGTGTCTGGAACACTAGATATAATGGATGTGGCTCATAATTTGAGGTAAACTAAGGCACATGGCAGGTAACTGTGTGTGTGTATGTGGGCATTTCATGTATTCTTATGCAGGTCTGTGTAGTTAGGTGCATTTTCTGCATTGAGTTATGTTCTCTTGAAAAAAACTAGTATTCTGGTTGTGCATAAGGCAACGTGAAATTGCTATAATCAAATGTTCTCTGATGTCAGTCACTTTGGAGCAAATTTGCATTTTCAAAAGATTTTTATTAAAGAATTTACCATAATGGAAGTGAGAAAGTAGAAAATAGTAAGATCAACTAAAGTAATCATTACCCATCATGAGCCACCAGAATATAGCTAAATATTAACAAATATACATACGTACATTTGTGCAGTCATCATATGAACTTTCTTTCTCTCGTTTCCTTTTTTTCTTCCCTTCTTTTCCTCTTATCCTGAACTTAATCTTTCTCTTTCTCCTCTCATCATTTGCCTTTGGAAAACTAAAGCAGTGCTTATCCTCCCTGCTTGTACTTAGGGCTGTAAGAGGTGACTTCCTGCTCCCAATCAAGATGCCTGTCCCTACAAAAGGAAAGTATTCAGCACAGCTCATGACATTCTCTCAGACAAAAGGGAGGAAGCCTGTAAAATTAGTCTGCCTTTCTTTGTGAAGCATATTCTGATCACCCTAATTGGAAGAGAAAAAATCATTTGCTATGAGATGTGTATGCAGTGGCAACATCTACCTACCTTATTTATTTTGAACATTTTCACTGTGAAAAAAATATGGCAGCTCAAAGAAATAAAGACTCAAAAAACTGATTCTATATTTTACCTCTGACTGTTCCATAGTGCTTTTTTAAAGAAACAAACTGCTTTTGGAAATTTTTGTTTAATGCTGAAGACCATTTTATCAGTAAGGTCATTTTTATCACTGTCCTGCCAAGTGACTTGAAGGCAGGAACTCTCATTTATTTTCATGTCACATAGCTTAGAATGGATATTTTTGAAATGAATAATCCTTGAAATAAAATAGAAACCCACAAAAATTTCAAATAAATCTTATTTAAGTCTCTTATTAAAATAAATTTCAGTAAAATGTGTATGTGATTACTCAATCCCAATTTACCAAAACACTGTCTCTTTGGTATGACACACAATTACTTTATAGTTTGTAAATTTCTTCACAGACTTAACCTAAAAAGAAGTAATCAGCTGGGCATAATGGGGCATACCTATAATCCCAGCACTCTAGTAGGCTGAGGCAGGAGAATCACAAGTTAAAGCCCAGCCTGGGCAAATTAGTGATTTAGCAAGACCCTGTCTCAAAATAACAACAACAAAGACTGAAGATGTAGCTTACTGGGAAGGTCCTGGATTCAATCCTCAGTAGAAAAAACAAACAAACCTAGTAATAATACTAATAGGGATGAAAATACAGAATATGTCATAACACAATTTTGGCAACTCCCAACCCCGCCTCAGAGTAAATGGCATATGTGTTAAATGTTTCTAATTTAGGATCCTCTAATAAAAGTTTTATTTTCCATGCCTCTCAGCATCTATGTCAGCAAATTATTTCTGATATTTTTTTCTCTTCTATAATTGTAGGAGAAACATTTTTTGAAAGAAGAGAAGAATAAACTCAGCCAGGAACTGAGCACTGTTGCAACTGAAAAAAACAAGATGGCTGGGGAGCTGGAAGTTCTGCGGTCTCAGGAACGCCGCTTGAAAGAAAAGGTTGCTAATATGGAAGTTGCTCTTGATAAGGTAGTTATTAACCACATAAGTAAGGTAATTATCACCCAAACAGTTATTAACTGGATAGAATTTGTATTAGTCACTTTCCTGTCACCAGAACAAAATACCCAACACTCACAACTTAAAGGAGAGAGGTTTATTTTGGCTCACAGTTTCAGCCCATGGGTGGCTGGCTCCAAGGCAGTAATGGCACAGTGGAAGGCATGGCAGAGGAAAGCTGCTCACATCATGGCAGCCAGGAAGCAGAGAGATAGGGAGTAGCCAGGGACAAGAATATACCCTTCCAGGTCACACCCCTAGTGACCCACCTCCATCCAGGCCCCACTTCCAAACATGAGACTTTGGGGGGTACTTTTAGACCTCAGCCATAACAGAATTGTTCTGAATGAAAGTTCTGTGTAGGTGGGACTGAACCTGTCAACTTCTATTGTGTCCCAGTCACCTAGCACAGGGAAAAGCTCTAGCACCTAGAGGAGGCTCTTCTGGCTTTGAAATAGTCATATTGCATACTGTTTGCCAAGTTACCTTTTCTAGGTTAACACAGTCACTGCAGCAGAAAGATCCTCCTGATATCTTTAGTGGCCCAAGTAAGTAAAAATGCCTCAATGAGCACTAACTTACATTATAGAATGACCTTGGCAGTAGATAGAATATGGTCTCTTTTTAATGTCAGTAAAATGATAAGGTAGTGCTAATGTCTGACACCTTGTGGGCAGAAAGTGCAGGTAGAAAACACAATTTAAAGAATGAGAAAGATCAGTGACACTATATTTATCATTATAATTTATTAGAGAATGATAAATCTGTCTTCCTGTTACACAGTGGAAACTGTGGAAGCCTAAAATCGTAGCTTGATTCCCAAGAAATCAGAGCCTTTGTGGTTAGATAAAACAATCTGTGGTCCCACTATGCCAGCTTTGTTTCTTAAAAAAAAAAAAAGGCCTATATTGACTCAAGGAATTTCAGTTGAGGTTATGTTGTATGAATTTTTATACTTTGCTAATTTTCTAATTTGCTCATTCCATCCTTAGGCCAGTCATGCTTGTGAGTGCTCTCCATATACTAAATGCTGTGTAGACGCTGAGGATGCAAAGAATAAGGATCCAGTAATAGATCATTGGAATGTAGTGTACCAGGGTTGGGTGGGTTGGTTCCTGGAAGAGATGGCAGCTTTACAGTTATGACACAAAAGAGCATATAGAGTGGAGGATAAAAAAATAACTAAAAATCTGTTTAAAAAAAGAATGGAGGATAAATCAGTTGTGGTTGCTTGATTGTAGGCATCTTTGCAGTTTGCAGAATGTCAAGATATAATACAGCGTCAGGAGCAGGAATCTGTACGCCTAAAACTTCAGCACACTTTGGATGTAAAAGTAAGGTTTTTTCATCATAAATAGTAATTTAAACAGCTAATGCTTTTGCCTGATACGCTTTTATATTTCCTTTAGATACCTCACTTATATTTATATGTACTTTCAGTATTATCTGATATTAGCAATTATAAAATCTGTATAAACATTGTTACACACTCTACAGTCTTTTTTACATGTGCTAACAAATTGAAGCACCACACTTTATTCTCAGTTGATAATAAATGAAACACAAACAGTTTCACAGGTACCTGACCTGAGTGAGGTCACCTTGTGGAAGTGTTTTCAACACATAGGTGTTTAAGCAAGGGCAAAGACCCAGAGAGCTAGGGTGTTTGCCTTGTTTGAGGAGTAGCAAAAGTGATGTAATCTCTAAGATAGCTATATTTCTTAAAAACAATAAACTACACTGAAATATGTATCTATTTTCAGAACTATAAAGTTGCAAACATGTTTTAAATTCTTGGTAATAAATTTTGTCCGTGAAATTAAAAATGCATTTTGATTTCACAATTCTTTGTAGTTATATGTTGCCATTATTTTGCTCACACATTGTTTTCCAGGAGCTTCAGGGTCCTGGATTTACTTCAAATTCTTCAATGAAACCACGCCTGCTCCAGCCAGCCTCTTTTACCCGTACCCATTCTAATGTACCGTCTTCCCAGTCTACAGCCAGCTTCCTCTCGCATGTAAGTAACTGCTTTTCTGTTTCATGATGCCAGGGATATGATATGTAAGTAATCTTAAGTTGAGAAAAATTTCTTTAAAACATATTTAAAACCAGCATTTTTGGTTGCTAGATTTTAGATTTATACATTTTTCTAAAAATCCAGTGATGTCCATATGAATTAGAATGTTTTCTTAACTAGTTGGTGTTTTTTTTAAGAAAAATAAAATTGAAATAGTCAGTGGGTTTAACCATAATTATCATAGTAAAGTATTTAATACTATTCAGTTCTTTGGTTATTTCCATCATAAGCATTTTCAGTTTACAAAGCAAACACTGAGATGGCTAAAATAGGCATCACTTCAAATGCCAAGGGCAAGTTGGTGGTATATTTTAATATTCTACCAAGATGAAAATTATTTGATAAATATTGTTTCCTCATGCACTTATTTATAATAAATATTTTATTAATCATAAAACATGTTTATTTCTTTCAGTTAAAATGTTAATAACTTTGGAACTTTTTTAGTTTAACATTGTAACTTATAACTCAAGAAGAAATATGCACAATGTAAAATTCAGGCTTTATCTCCTTGAAAATATATAAATTGAAGGTATATAAAGATATATATATATTCCTTGAAGATATGTACATTCCTTATAAACAGTATTTAGCTCTAACTCTTAAAAAAGAGATGCCATAAATCATATGTGAAAATAAGTTTTATTAGTTAAGTCTGATTTTTTTTTAACTTTTTAAAAATTTTAATAGTACATATTTGCGGTACATACAGTTTACAGTCATATGGGGGAGTGAGTACATGTATATAATATAGCTTGTTTATTTTTTTTAATCCCTTCCCCTTCCCTCTCCCCTCCCTCCCTCCTCTCTAATTCCCCATCCTGATTTTCATTCTTTAATTTTTTTGAAAATGCATGACAAGGTCTTTAATTGTATTTGTAAATGATTACTGATATACCAAATAACAAGTAACAAGTTCTTGAGTCCTATCATCTAGTAAATTTTTTGTTTTGTTTTGTTTTTGAGACAAGGTCTTACTGTATAGCCCAGGCTGACTTCAAATTTGTGATCCTCCTGTCTCAGGCCTCCTGAGTGCTGAAATTACAGGAGTACACCACCACTCCTGGCTTATCTAGTAATTTTGGTTAAGATAAACTAAGGGCAGCCCAAGCAAGTATACTATATTCACTGTACTAATCCTTCCTCAGAATATACTACTTTAAGGCTGGCTGTTGCTTCATACAAGTTACAAATAAACTATTTACCACTTTTTCATAGGTAAAGTCCCTGACCTTCAAGAAAGTACAAGGGGGAAAAAGTTATTTAATCCCTTCATTTCTATAAAGAACTGTTTTTTTCTTTTTCCTACTAAATCTAAGAAAGAAAAAGTCAACACTGATATACATATTGCTTGAGCTAAAAGATATAGGAAAACAGATAACATATACTCATTAAATTTCTCAGAAATATGAGGTAAAAAGATGAAATCTTTGAAGAAAGTACTAAGTTTTTCCAAAGAAGCTAAATATGCTACTCTACAAAAAGTGGAGGAACTATTATACAACATAAGAAATAATTTAATGCATTTCATAAGAATAGAAATTGACTTTCCTAAAGCTTCATATTCTGTGAGAGCATCTACAATGCTAATCTATAGAACAGGCACTTCTTTCTTCTGTCCATTTGTGCAGCAGTTTTCATGGATTTCTCCAGAACTTTTTCCCTGTTCTGCTGGAATTAGGTCTGGAGGATGACCATCTTCTCCTGGGTCTCCTTTTCCACTTCACTGCTGCAGCTGCTAAGGCCGCGGTTTCCTTAGCCTTGAACTCTTTGTCACTCTGCAGGCAGTACTGTTCAATCTCAGCCTGAGCTTCTTCTTCACCCAGCTTCAGCCTCCAGTTCTTTTGCTTGAGGGCCTCAGACACCCTCTTCACAGCCTGCTTCTCAGCCTGCAGCAGCTGCTGCATTCCCTGCAACTGGCTGGCCGTGGCTGCTGTGGCTCACAGGGCCAAGTGAGCAGCCAATTTTCATTCTTGTTGTTACTAGTCTTAGCTCATGTTACTGTATATAATGTTTATATTTGTTGAGGTTATTAGGTTCCTGCACATAGCTTATCTTTTTTCTGCTTATTTCCCCTTCCCCCACCTCCTCACCTCTTACCTTGGACTACTTCCCCCACACTACTTCCCTATTGCAAGATATCCATCCCTTGGTCCCCTTCTATACATCCTTTATTATCCATCCTCTTTGTGCTCTGCCTCACTCAAATGAGAGATACTATATGGTATTTAAGTTTGTGTGTCTGATTTATTTCACTCAACATTATATTTTCCAGGTGCATCTATTTTCCTACAAATGTCTCAATTTTGTCACTCTTTAAAGCCAAGTAGTATTCCATTATATATAGATACCACATTTTCTTTATTCAATCATCTGTTGATGTCTATACAGGCTGCTTCTAGGATTTAGCTATTCCAAACTGTGCTGCTATAAATATTGATATGCATGTATTATTGTAGTATGATGTCTTAAGCTCTTTGGAGAAGATACCTAACAAGAGGATAACTGGGTCATATGAAATTTCTAATTTCAGTTCTTTGAGAAATCTCCATATTGATTTCCCTAATGGTTGTGCTAGTTTACATTTCTACCAAAAATGAAAGAGGGTTCCTTTTTCACCACATCCTTGCCAGCATTTGCTATTGTTTGATTTGTCGACATTGCCACTCTTTCCAGAGTAAGATGAAATCTTAGCATTGTTTTAATGTGCATTTCTCTAATGGCCAGAGATGTTGAACATTTTTCATATATTTGTTGACCATATTTATATTTTCCTCTGTGAAGTGTCTGTTTGTTTCTCTTGCCCATTTCTTGACTAGGTCTTTAATTTTAGGTGACTTAAGTTTTTTGAGTTCTTCATATATTCTAGATAGCTGCCTGAGGAGTAGCTGGGAAAATTTTTTCCCAACTGTAGATATTGGGTGCTGATCAGACCCCCAATCACCTGGCCAAGAGTACAGTGCAAGATGACAAAAGACAAGACAAAATCTTTACTGTATAAGGGGGGGCCGGGATGATCAAAGCTGATATCAGGCTAAGATGCTATCTCTGGGAGCTTGCCACTATTTATTAAACACAGCTTCTTGGAAGGGAGAAGGGCAATGCAGGGAACAATGGAGTGGACAGCACTGACATGAGCAGGGTCCTAGTAGCAAAGGAACAAAATATTCTAGCAGGAACAGATCATTGATTAATGGGAAATTTGTTTTTTCCCCTTAGATAAATGTTTGCTTCTATAGAAATTTTGAGTATGAGTCACATTGCCCTTAGCTGCAATATTGTCTTGCCATCCAAGACGTCACAGTGTCGCAGATCATTGAGACCTCAGCTGTGACCGGTGGCATGAGGAATTGTTCCGTTCCCATAGCACCAACTGCTGGCTCTTCAGGCAGGCCCTTGTGGGCTAATAGGCAGACTCAGATTTTTAATATGGAAAGCCAATTTATAAATTTGCAGCTCACTCAGGGTGGTCTCCATCAATTCCTCCTTTTTGTTTAGTAATTGTAGAAGCTGGATCAAGGTGAGTCCTGGCTGAATGTCTTCTAGGCATTGGTTGGTTCTGATTTCTCTATGGCATACGTGGATGAGAGGCAGTCCAACCTTCCTGGGTGGCACCCACAACATTTCTCCATTACTTCTTCCTCACATTATTAACTGTGACTGTGCAGGGTCATTTTACCTTTTAGTTAGGACATTTTTTTTTTTTTTTTGGTATCCAGGATGGAACTCAGGACCTTGTGCTTGTGAGGCAGGTGGCAGAACCACTGAGCTAAATCCCCGGCCCAGGACATCCTTTTACAACACTTGTGCCTAGTGCATGTCTATAAATTTGTCTGTGTCAATGGAGTTCTAATGGAGTATATTTAGTGTCTGCAAGCATATTTTTAAAACAATTTAAGTAAAGGTTGCAAGATTTAATTGTGCCTGTAGAGGTAGCCATACTCCCCCCTTTTTGTTTCTGTTATTATATTTTTAGGGACAGATGAGTATGCTTAATAATGGCTTCGCCTGTGCATTATAAGGATCTATAATGTGTTTTACTGACTTAGCTGTCTATAATACTCCCCCTTCTAAAGAGCTATCCCCAACTGTGGTTAGGAGAGACGGGGCATAGTTTCTATCTAACTGCTTTGAGCTGAGAAGGGTTGATGTAGGGGAGACCACAGTTAGGGGCCTTTTCCAGGGAGCTAATTTAATAGTCCTTACATAGAAGTCATGTTATAGTTTAGCAGTTAAGAACTCTTGATAAGGTCAATCTGGCCATAGGAAGGGGAGGGGGCTTGAGGGCAGGAATGGGATAAAATAAAATAAAATCTATTAAAATAAAAAATAGGGGCTGGGAATTTAGCTCAGTGGTTCTGCCGCCTGCCTTGCAAGCACAAGGACCTGAGTTCAATCCCCAGTACCAAAAATAAATTTAAAAATAAATAAATAAATAAATAAAGTCAATCTGGTGCATCTTGGTAAGAGGAATCTAGCACGTTTCTTGGTTTTATCTATATAATCACTTGGAGTTTGGTACCCTCTAGACAAAAATAAACAAAATTTTTTAAAAATTAGAGCATATATAATCAAAGTATAAGCACTAGAATGGAAAACCAGCAGGTTGGAGAAAGAGCCACATTTAAAAACTGCTTGTAAGATGGGGATTTAGCTCAGTGGTTCTGCCGCCTGCCTCATAAGTGCAAGGTCCCGAGTTCGATCCCTGGTACCAATAAATAAATAAACAAACAAACTGTTTTTAAGGAAAACAAAAAAACTGTTTTTAAGAGACTGAAATAGCAAGTATAACCCACTAGCTCTTAGACCCTTCCATTGATGGAGGTTATCTATAGGTCTGACATTTTATCATAATTTTTTCGAATTTTAGCTATAGAAAGATGGAAAGTTTGATAATTTTAAAGAATAATTTTTTACTTTTTTTTTTTAAGAATAATTTTACCTAAAAAATTTTAAAATTCTTGTTGAGTTCTTACAGATTTTGTCATAGTTTTTTCTAATGATTGGTAACAGTGGTCAGCCACCAGTGTAGCTGAAAACTGCCAGAAGGGATCAGCAATTGGATCCCCTTCTTATATCTAGCTTTATTACTAAGGTCTTGACTTTGTGTATCTTTTAGTTATACTTTTCTACTAGGTGTTCAAGACCAAGTTAAAGTGAGACTATATTAATTAGAATTAACCTCTTGCTATCTATCAAGGTCAGTTAAGTCTCTTCACGCATTACTTTGAAATCATGTATAGAGCCTCTCAGCTCTTGTCAGTATCAGTCATCAGGATGGGTCACGGCCTTGCTTGCCCGTGTTGCTTTCTATGAAAGCATGGGAGATTTCCCCCCTCTAGGTGTCCTTCCTTTGGTACACTATATATTTGTTGATTCTTATCTTAAAGCTAAAAGATCATAAGGCTGTTTTGCTACTCTTGGCTTGTCATCAGTGCAAGGGTTTGAAAGAGAGATGGTGGAAGGTGAACAGGCCCTTAGGAAGGAGTATGGCAGAGATGTGCCAGTGTGCTCTGCTCCTTGCTCCCAGGAGAACGGGAGTTCTGTGACACTCTGTCAGAGCTTAGCACATGTCCTGCAAGGTTTGGTTTATGACTCTTCTTGACAGAATCCGAGATCCAGAGCCTATCAGTAGCTAGCAAAATAAAAAAAGAGGATTACTTTGGTGGCATGTGACACTTTCCCCAGAGGAGGGGAAAAGCAAGGCATATAGGGCCGGGGATTTAGCTCAGTGGTTCTGCCGCCTGCTGCGCCAAGCGCAAGGTCTCGAGTTTGATCTCAAGTTTGATCCCCAGTACCAAAAAAAAAAAAAAAAAGGCATATATTTCTCATGCACCAAATTTAAACCCTAGAGAAAGGATCATCTTGAAAGGAACCCCCCTGAAGAAGACCTCTTTGTGGGCCGACACTACCTCCCCAGGTTAAAAGTGCTTGAGAGTTCTGGGTTGGTCAAGAGCACTCATAAGTCTGCTGCATAATTAGGGTTCATAGCCGGGGATTTAGCTCAGTGGTTTCGCCACCTGCTGTGCAAGTGCAAGGACCTGAGTTCAATCCCTGGTACCAAAAAAAAAAAAATAATAATAATAATTAGGGCTCATAAACCTGTTCACCTGGTTCAGAAGTCCCCAGACATCACACCAGGGACCACTCTGTAGGATCTTATTTCCCTACTCTAACTCTTCCCTTCCATCTCTAACCAAAGATGGGCCCAAAACATAGGTACAAAGTATAGAAGGAGTAAAGAAAAAAAGGAAAAGGAATTTATACTAATTCTTTACTGAAGCCTCTCAAGGCTGAAATGGTCCTCTCAACTTGTGTAAATTTACACATTGCAAAACAATGAGTGGAAAACACATCAAAATGTTAATGGTATGTGTTTTAGTCAGCTTTCCTATCACTGGGACAAAATACCTGATACCTGTACCTTGAAAGAGGAGAGGTGTATTTTGGCTCACATTTTTCAGAGGTTTCAGTTCTTGGTTGGTCTGCTCCAAAGTAGAATGGTATGGTAGAGGAGCATAGTGGAGGAACCTGCTCACCCCATGGCAGCCAGGAAGCAGAGAAGGAAGGGAGGAGCCAGGGACAAGAATACACCTTTCCAGTCACACTCCCAGTGACCCACCTCCAACCAGGCCAACCTCCTAACAGCATATTCAGAATCCACAATGAGTGTAGCACCCCCATTATCCTGTCACCTTTCAAAAGCCTCTGAATGCATGAGACTTTGGGAGGACATTTTAGATCTAAACTATGACAATATTTATCTGTCTTCCTTGATCTGTGATGACCAAGCAGAGGCTATATAAGTACATTGCTGACTTGCTGTGGAGAAATTCCATCATTACTTCAGATTGGGAATTGGGCTGGACCTAGATCTTCAGGCCCCCTCCAGCCTTATATTTTTGTGATTTTTTTATACTCAAGCAAAATGTGGGTTATAGAGACCATGATGTTTAGACCAAGTCTTCACCTCTATGGTTATATTGTGTCTTAGAAGAGCAACATACATTTCAGAAGTTGAAAAGACAAGGGTTAGGATGAGGTCAATGAAAGAATGTTGTAGGACTGATTATGATTAATTGTTAAGTAAATGGTAGAATTGGATAGGTTTTAAAACTGTCTTGGGGCTGGTATGTAGCTCAGTGCTATATCTCTTACCATAAAATTTTTTGAGTCTTGTAAAGCACCAGTTACTCTGAAAGAACCTGGGTGTCGTGAAGATGGGGGTTATATTTATATGTTTATAGATTGTTACAGTGGTGATTTCTAATAAATGTCAAATGCTTAAACATTTTAACATTATCAAAGTCTATTGAATAAACTTTCTAGAGGGTAGAAGATACAAAGTTTAGGTTAGAGCTAAGGTGACTTAAGATTGGAATATGATAAGGTTCCCTTACTTAGGCACTTTCTTGTCACTGGAATATAATACTTGATTCCCACAATTTAAAGGAGGAGAGGTTTATTTTGGCTCATGGTTACAGTCCATGGTCACCAGGCTCTAAGGCAGAAACAGCATGGCAGAGGGCCATAGCAGAGGAAAGCTGCTCACCTCATGGCAGCCAGGATGCAGTGAGAGAGAGGAGCGAGGAGCAGAGAAGGGAGCTAGCCCCTTCAGGCCATGCCGCAGAGACCTCATCCAGCTAGACCCTACCTCCCAACAGCAAGTCAGCTATATTGCACTGCGATCTCTTCACTTTCAAAATCCCCATCTCTGAGCACAGCAGAGTCCTGGGGCTCATTCTTGATCAAAACCATAACATTTACCAAGTTTATGAGGTTTTATTCCACATTGGATATTAGGTGTACCAGGACTAGGACAAGAACAAAACCAATGTTCAGTAAAATTGGATAATCTGCTAGCAGATAAATGTTTTTATTCATCATTAAGAAACTGTTTCGCATATTTATGCTTAAGTGAGTGAAGTCAAATTTAATACAGTAATATAATGTAGTCTGATTTATGAAACTTTAGACTCATCATGGCAATTTCCAGTTAAGATGACCATTGATATCCTGAAAAGACCATTCTTCACACACTGTACTTTCAGCTAGGCAGCTTGTGAGAGCTTCAGTCCAGTGTTGGTTGTGGTTCATCTGGGGGTTGGGAAGTGGAGGGAAACCCAAAATCCAAAATTTTGCAGTGTTCATCCTCTAGCACCAACCTGTGTTATGGGTGAAAGTGTACTGTGGGACGGACGTCTCAGCCAAACAGCTCAGGGACTCGGAGGGCAGCTTCTGATGGCTGTGGGCTCCCTCTTGATGTGCCTCTTAGGAACATGTGCACATCTTAATGCATCGAAACATTCACTAGAAAACATCATGTCAATTTGAAGATCTTAGGTTTTTCTCAATTGCCAACTAATACAGTTTGAAAATCTTTGATGTTGAATTCTCTATATCTCAGTGGTAGAGTGCTTGCTGAGGATGGGCAAGGCCCTGGGTTGATTTTCAGCACTGAGAAATACTGGATGTCTTTTCTCATCAGTAAAATGTGGGGAATAGATTTGCACATTTCTAAAGAGTTCTGTAGAGTTCTGTTGCTTTATAAAATTAGTTTAGCCTAAAACAAAATACAAAATTATTTTGCCAAGATGTAGTTGAAAATATTTAATAACATAGTAAAGATGTTCATACTACATTGTTAAGAAATAAAAATTTCAAAATAGGGCCAGGGATTTAGCTCAGTGGTTCCGCCGCCTGCCTCACAAGTGCAAGGTCCTGAGTTCAATCCCTGGTATCGAAAAAAAAATTTTTTTTTAAATTAATGTGTGTAGTTTGATCATCACATAGATTTGTAAATTACATATAGTACTCTATTGATCTTGTATTTTGTAGTACCAGAGATTGAAATCACGACCTTTGCACTGAGCTACATCCCCACTGGGGATTGAACTCAAGACCTTGTCCTTGAAAGGCAGGTGGCAGAACCACTGAGCTAAATCCCCAGCCATCCCTTTTTAATTTTGGCAACAGAGTCTCACTAAGTCACTGAGTTCCCTAGGCTGGGTTTAAACTTTTGATCCTCCTGCCCCAGAATCCCAGAATTCTGGGATTACAAGTGTGTGTTGCCACGCCCAGCTTCTCTATTGATTATTGATTGGTTATTCCTGGCTATCCCTCTATACTAAAATTTCAGGTGATTTTTATTTTCCTCTTCTTACTCTTCCATAATTTTTATTTACCAGTTGAATTAATTTTCTAACAGAAAAACCATATCTGAGAAAAGAATTGTCATTGTTCTATACACTTTTAACTCAGCACTCCAGGAAGACCACTGCACTGAAGGAAGACCCCACGAAGGACCTGAAACAGCTCTTGCAGGAGCTGAGAAGCGTGATCAATGAGGAGCCAACTGTGCAGCTGAGCAAGGCAGAGGACAAAGGGAGAGCACCATCGCTGGGGGCCTTGTGCGTGGCTGTGTAGGATGGAACTCAGGAGGGGAAACCTGTGCACATGGCACTCTCTGGAAGGTTGAGGTTTAAATAACTTTGGAGAATGTCTGAAGTTGTCAGGAGAAACAAAGTAAAAGTGGAAGAGTTAAGCAAAAGTAAAAGAAACTTGATATCAGGAGAAAATAATACATTCTGTTTAGATACCCATCAGTGGAAGGTGTTACTCAGAGTTACATTTGTATAGTAATTTATAATTCCCAGCACATTTCACATTAATAATCTCATTTGAATATCTCAACAACACCTGAGACCAGGGGTCATTCATACCATTTTATAAATAAGAAAAATGCCAGTCTCAAAGGTTGATTTGCTTGCAGCACACACACTAGGACCCCAAGAGCTTCCTAACTCTCCAGGAATAGGTATAAGCTGACAAGAAAGGCCTTGGTTCCAGTTATCTCCAGTTAATAGACCCAAAAAGGATTCGGCCAGCTCACCCTAACCCTAACATAGTTGTAGAAATCAGTAGCATTTTCATTGTCTTTTCAAATAATGTTTTTTAAAATTGTATTTTGTGCTGTCATTTAGGTTAGTTTATCTTAAAGCATGTTAATATCATATATATATATTTTTAGTATTATAGCCCATTTTTGTAATACTCATTTCTGATTATATGGCAGTTACTTAAATGTTGTTAGTGTATATATATTATCCCAAGGTACCAAAATATTGGCTGGATTTTTCCAATTGTTATTAATAATAGTAATAGCCTAATTACCTCGCATAACTTACATTATCCAAATCACATAGTGTCCGAAATGTTTCACTGACTCCTCCATCAAAGAGTATTTTCACTTGGAGAACACTTTCATTGTTGTCACAACTACAGTGTGCCTTCTAAGCCAGGGCAGTATTAGTTAGCTTATTTGACAATTGCATAATCTTAGGCATAAGTTGACTTGCCTCCTTCAAGAAAGCTAAAGCAAAACCAGAAGTAAAAGCCCAGGCACTGGTTCTCAGCACCAATCATTTCATAGAATTACCATGCTTCCCTGAACCAGTTTCCAGCACGCCAGCCACTAACAATACAGTTGAACTGTACTGGACTGTATTAAACATAAAATATAGGGGCCGGAAGGGCCCAAGTTCGACCCCTGGTACCAAAAAAAATATATAGGGGCCGGAGATTTAGCTCAGTGGTGTGGCCACCTGCCTCGCAAATGCAAGGTCCTGAGTTCAGTCCCCGGTACCAAAAAACAACAACAACAAAAATATGTTTTGTCCTTGCCTTTAAAGCATTTATGTTAATTTTTTGTAATCCTACAAATCACCTTGTCACTAAAAATTAAACTCCCCCTAGTGCTTAATACTCCAGAGAAAGAAAGCATTTTTGATTTGATGAATTCCAGAGGTAGCTTTTTGTTCAATTTTCTTGGAAGCCTAAAACCCACAGTTGTGTGTTAAACATCTGGATGTGGTGGTGCAAGCCTGTGATCCCAGAAAGTGGGAGGTTAAGGCAGGAGAATTGTAAGTTTGAGGCCAGCTTGGGCTACATAGTGAGTTCAAGGCCAGCCTGGACTACATAGCAAGAGTGTATTAGTTATTGTCTTCGTTGCTGAGACAAAATGCCCAACACTCAAATGAAGAAAGGTTTGTTGTAGCTCAGAGTTTGTAGAGGTTTTAGTCCATAGTCAGCTGGCTCTGAGGCAGGGTAGCATGACAGAGAGGCATCACAGAGGAGAAAAAGTCCATGGCAGGCAGACAGGAGTCAGCAAAGCAGCAAGCAGCAGCAGTAGAGGCACCAAGAGAAGGAGTCTTCCCTCTCTCCCTTCATTGTCTAGTCTGTAAGCCTAGTGATTAGTGCTGCTCACACCCACAGTGAGGCATGCTTACTCTCAGTGTCACACCCTTAATCCTAGCATGGCACACCCTAGATCTGGCCACCTCCTCCAAAAAGCCCACCTATGACTGTGTGAGGCTTTGGGGGATACATCTAGATAAAACAGATACAAGCCGTGACAAAGCCCCTGTTGCAGAAAAAAAAAAAAAAAAACCAGAAAAGAAAAGAAAAATTAAATACATGTGAGTAATTGATTATTTTTTTTAAATCCAATCTTTTTTTTTTTTTTTGGTACCAGGGATCAAACTCGGGTCCTTGTGCTTGCGCAGCAGGCGGCAAAACCACTGAGCTAAATCCCTGGCCCTAAAAATCCAATCTTGCTGAGTGTGGTGGCCCACACCTATAATCCCAGCACTTGGGACACTGAGGCAGGAGGATCACCATGAGTTCAAGGCCAGTCTGGGCTACATAGTGAGACGTGTCTCAAAAAAACAAAACCAACAAAGAAAATCAAATCTAGAAATTGATCTGCATGTAATTAATTGAGTTATATTTATCTAAACAGGGATGATAGGGTAAGAGATTGCATTATCGAATCAAGCCTGAGATCAGACATATGTCATAGGTAAGAATAATCTATAATTCTGAATCTAATTAATTACCCAAGGATCATTATGTGGCTTGGTGAAATGAGAGGGTCTGGTTGGATGATTTTCATGGAACTTGGCAGACATTTTGGTCCATGAAGGAAAGCTATTACATTGTCTAACTGACTCTAAAAAAGATTTCAATTAAATGTACGAATTTACTTTCCAGAAATCAGCTTCATATGCACTTTCTGCTTTTTTGCTGATTATATTAGCTTTGTTTCACTATTACAAAATATGTGAAGTAATTAATTTATAAGAGAAAAAAGGTTTATTTAGTTTATAGTTCTGCAGGTTCTAATCCAATACTGGCCTCTTATGGGGCACCAGTGGTGTGGACTCACTGCTCACCTCATTATCAGGAAGCAGAAGAGACAAAAAGGGGCCAGAATCCCACAGTCTCCTTTGGGTCTTGTGCCCTGTAACCTAAGGATCTCACCTCCTAAAGGCTCTACCACTGTCCAGTAGTGCCCCCTGCTAAGGGCCTTTGGGGGACACTCTGTATCAAACTATAGCACAGATGTTTTACTACAGGAAGCTGTGTGCTCCTGGGGAAGTAATGACTTGGTCTACGTTTTTACATATTTACAATTGCTTGTATAGTGATTTTGAAGAGTGGTCCAGGATATGATGATTTCTTTCTTTCTTTTTCCTTTTTTTTTTTTTTTGGTACTGGGGATCAAACTCGGGACCTTGCGCTTGCAAGGCAGGCGGTGGAACCACTGATCTAAATCCCTGGCCCAAGGATATGATAATTTCAATATGAAGTTATAAGAATAGTCTTACTGAAAACAATTCAGTAATTGAATAGCTGAATTTTTAAGTGAAATCATTAAAAAGAGCAGAAAGAAAGCCAAGTGTGGTTGCACATCCCTGTAATTCCCCCACTCAAGAGCCTGCAGCAGGAGAATCACCACGAGTTAGGTATACAATATGATGACATTCAACATTGGGAATTTATACCTTTACATGATGTATCTTGTTCCCCATTCCCCTTCCTTCCCTTCAACCCCTCCACCTCTCCCTATTTACAAAGACTTTGTTTCTGTTTTTTCCTTTTCTCATATTTATTCCTTTCCCTTCTTTCCTTTCCCCTACCCCTCCCACTTCCCCTTCCCCTTTAGACTTTTTTTCCCTATTTCACATTATCTGTTATACATTTTGATCTTCATTTACACTCAGTTTCTCACAGCAGAGAAACTATTCGGTATTGACACATGGGTGTCCTATTTATTTCACTTAAAAGTATGGCCTCAGTGTGCATCCATTTAACTATAAATGTCTCTAGTTTCTCGTTCTTTATGACTTGTACTCCATTTTATTAAAAAACCACATCTTCTTTATCCAGTCTCCAGTTGATGGGCAATTGGACTGTTTCCAAGTTTTAGCTATAACAAACTGTGCCACTATGAACATGGGTGCACATATATTGTTGTGGTATGATTCTTTCAGTTCTTTTGGGAAGATACCTAGCAGGGGAATAGCTGAGTCAAATGAGACCTCTAATCCTAGTTCTTTGAGGTATCTCCATATTGATTTCCACAGTTGCTGGACCAGTCTGCAATCCCACCAACAGTGGAGAAGGGTTCCTTTCACCCCACAACCCCACCAGCATTTGTTATTGGTTGATTTCTTGTTAGCAGCCATTCTTTTTGGAGTAAGATGAAATCTCAGCATTGATTGCATCTGCATCTCTCGAATAACCATTTTTTCTCAGCTGCATAGTTTATTCTTCCTCTTTTCTGATTGTTTTAGAATCACCTCTATTTATTTAATCTGATCTATTCGGGGAGGCACTGTTTTCCATGTATAGATTAGAAGTAGAGACTCTTTTTACTTAAAAACTTTCCAAGGTCATACATCTTGTAAGCAGAGGAGCTCAGATTTTAACTTGGTCTGGCTGGCTCTAGAGTACATACTGTGGCCACTACAGCATACTGCTCTGGGGACCTAGACTGAGTGTTCAGGAAGGAGCTGAATCAGAAGCAGAGAGGAACTACTTTCCTGAGGTAACCAAAGCTCTGCCATGACTAGAAAGATCTGCTTCCTTCAGCACTGAGGTTACCAGAGTGCTGTATCTTATGAAAACAATCTATATTCTCAAAAACACTGAGAATTGTTTTATAGTTTGGCAGCTAAATAAAAGGCAACTAGAATCTCATAACTGTGTATGTATCTAATCTGTTGTGGTATTGACCTTCTGGAAACTCTAATATATATTTGTGAAAGGGAGAATTAAAAAGCAAATAAGAGAGCCAGGCATAGTGGCACATACCTGTAATTCCAGTGTAATACCACAGCGAGCAGGAGGTCTAGAGACTTAGAGATTTTCAGTGGCAAGACCCTTCTGTTCCTCAGGTTCTTGCTCTCACCCCAGCAGGAATGCAAGAGGGGAGTGAGGCTGACCCAAAGCCAAAGATCCCCCAGCTTGTCCAGTGCAGAATGAGGAACTCAGGAAACAAGTAGTGTGGAGCAGAGGTTTACTTAAGGATATCTTGAAGGCAGGGATAAAGCTGTTGAGCAACAAATTTGCTCAGCAGGGAGAGCTAGAAAGGTGAGCTACTTGGGATGGTGTCCTTGCTCTGCCCATTTTTATAGGGGTGTTAAGCCAATCAGGATCTTAGTCTTTGTTGTTGCAGTGAGCTTATTGCTAGGATGGGCTAAGGTTTATGGAGTTTTAGGGGGTCTCCAGTATACAAAACCAGGTCTCTAAGAATAACTTCTATACCTGTAAGGGTTCACAAAGGGCAATTTCCAGTAACCAGGTGGTCATTTTTATAGCCATCATCCACACCACCTTAGCCATCCCCTACATTTCTTCCTACCTCCCCTTCCCAGTCCTTACATTCCTCCCTCTGCCTTAGGATGGGGAATAAGTAGGGGTCTTGTCTTTACCCCTTTGTTTGCTGATTGGATATTGGGCTTGTTGTAGGAGTTTGGTCTTGTGGGATGATAGAGAATGGGGTAGGCATGGCAGCCTGCGCTAGGAGGGGCAGTGTTGCCTGCACAGAGGCAGGGGTCAGAAACACAGACTCAGCTCTGAAGCACAAAGCTGCTTGAAAACTACTTGCTGCTCAGAGCCTGTATTTTCTACTCTCTAAAAAGGGCTAGGGTCTTTTAATCTTCCCCAGGACTTTCTTCTGACCCAACACCAGCACTCTGGGAGTCTGAGGCAGAGGGATCACAAGCTCCAGCCCAGCCTGGGTAACTTAACGGCTTAGCAAGAACCTCTCTCAAAATAAAATAAAAAAATATTTTTAAAAAGAGCCAGGGATGTAGCTCAGTTTGAAGTCCCTGGGGTCAATCACGAGTAACACACACACACACACACACACACACACACACACACACACAATCTTAGTATTGCAATGCAAGTAACTTTAACCTCACAACCCTCTGAAACAGAACTACCTTGAAAACTATCAGAGTATCTCTGACTGATAACCCACAGAGACCTGTGTTTTATTTCAGTTTGTTGACTTAATTAAGCTTTAAAGTTGGTTTTTTAAATAAAATATCATTTTAATTCTTGTCCTTAAAACTATAAAGATTATACATGATTTGAAAATGAGACTGTACCAAACAATGTCAAAAGAATCATCCATTCATTCTTTTCCTTTTGTCTGGTCACTCAAAAAGATAATGTTATCAGCTATGATTGTTGTTGCTTGTCACCTCACATTATTTTTATCCATGTATTCACCATAGTCTATTTTCCCTTCCACGAAAACTCAACACCCCTTTTCACATACTGATATGCTACATCTCTAAGGCCTGGCCAAAACATTAATATTTGGTGCCATGTCGTCTTTTGACTGACATCACCTATTTGGTATGCTTCACTGTCCCCTGATCGCCACATCTCATTTGTTGCTAGAGAAAATATGGTGACTGGATTTTTTCCTTCCACCTGTCTCATGACAGGGTCCTGACCCACTCGCCCAAGCAACTGTACCCGATTTAGAGATCTTTCAAGCACAAAACTGCTGGCTACTTCAGACTCATGTCTTACAAACTGACGAATCACCTGTAATAAAGGTCTTCGAAGAAGCATGGCTCCTATCTTCTTTTTTTACAATCTAATCTTTTGGGCTCTTCCTGACGCGCTAGCCAGCACTACCTCTACCATGGAGATCGCTTCCAGGGCCTAAGCTTTAAAGTTTTATAAACATACTGCTAATGCTAAGAGAATTTTGTTGTTATTATTGTCTTAGGTTTCTTTGTTTTAAAATGAGTCATTAAGATTGTTCTTCTTAGCTGGGGATTTAGCTCAGTGGTGCCATGCCTCCTGCCTTGCAAGTGCAAGGTCCTGAGTTTGATCCCTGGTAGAGGGAGGGGGGCAGGATTGTTCTTCTTAGAATCCATCAAAAAAGAGATTTGGGTGTATAACTATTATTACACAGAAATGAATTTTCTAACCAAGATTGTATATGATTCCTTTCATCCTGCAGAATGTTCATAGGTACTGAAAGTAGTAAGATAAAGCAACTTAGCATCTCCCTTGTGTGTGTTTTAGGACTTGTGCGGAGCAGAGTCATGCTCGCCACCCTGATCGTATGATCTCAGCCTTCACATGTGCCAGGTAGCTTGCTTCTGTCCATAGCTCTTCATGCTTTGTGCAAACCAGAAAGCTCACATTATCATTCTTATGTTTCAGGGAGCCAGTTCTGTTACATGCAGAACTGGAAGATCCATCTAGTTGCTTCACATTCCCTTCTACAGGTGAGTTTTCAATGAAGACACAGAACCCTGCAGTGTCCCCGTTCCCATGAGTGTGAAGGCCAAGGTCCTGACATAGCCTGAGAGTCCCCATTAACTGTCTGGGCTTGTTTCCTGCTACTGCTTTCTCCATTCATCTGGTTTGTCCATCCTTGAACTCTTCCTGAGCTGCCCAGCCGCTTCCCTCCAGTGGCTCCAGAGCTCCATGTGCACATGGGCACGCACTGTGCTCCCTGCAAAGCAACCCCTCACCTCCTTTAGAGCTTTGCTCAGATCCCACTCACAGATCCCTGTGAGACTTGGCTCTGACCACCTTATTTTAAAATCACAGACTGTCCACACTTGCAGTCCCCTCTTACCTTTTCCTTTGAAATCATCTAACATACTATGTAACTTAGCAGTTTACAGCATTCATTGGGTCACCAGCCTTCAACTGTCTGCTTCCCTGATACAGCTCATGTACCTAGAGCCTTCCGAACACAAAGCAGGTCCTCAACAAATACTAGTTGAATGGCTGAAAGGAAAAGGAGAAGAACTGAGACAAATGTTTGTCTTTATCATTTCCAAGGAATTATAGATGAGATCATCTGTATAAAAACAAGCTCCTGCAGGCAAAGTAGCTCACACCTGTGATTCCAGCACACTAAGAGGCTGAAGCAGGAGGATCACAACTTTAAGCCCACATCTTTGGGCAACTAAGCAACTTAGCAAGACCCTGTATCAGTTTGTGTTTTTTAAAAAGGCTATGATGTAGCTCATTGTGAAAGCCCTGGGTTCACTCTTGAGTACCACCATCACTCCCCAAAAAGAGAAAAGTGGAAGGGAGGGAGGGAAAAGATAAGATGGAACAGGACTGACTGAAATCATAGCCATAGAGAAAATTACACAAAAGGCATTTTTTAAACCAGGAAGGAAAAAAATTTCAGGATGTGTTAAATTTAGTAAGCAAAGGAAAACCAACAGACACACAATCGATTTTCCTATGGAACAGAACAAAATAATTGGAAAAGACTGAACCTGAAAATAACAGTTATTCAACAAAAACAGTTATAAATCTGGACAGTAATAATGTAAATAGGGCTAGGCATGGTGGCACACACTTGTAATCCCAGCTCTGGGGAGGCTGAGGAAGAAGGATCATGGTGAGTTCGAAGCCAGCCTAGACTACATAGTGAGACCCTGTCTCAAAACACAAAAACAAAAATAATGTAAATAGGGAAACTTGAACTGTAATTGAAAAGAGATGGAAGGAAGATAAGTTCCCAAATCTTTTCTTTTTTTGTAGAAGTGTTAATATATCTAAAATGAAAACATAATAGTCTTAAATACAATAAATACAAATTCTTAATTTTTTAATCATCTTTGACTTGGGTGAAATCTTAGAAACTAATATTTTAAAAAAGAGCATTTACATAAAGTTGATTTCCTTAAGTTTATTTCAATTATATTTTTGCCTATTATTTTAATGATTACTTAGGACAAAAGAATATTCGTTATCCTTGTCTCTTTGGATTAACATGAATGAGTGCTTTTTACTTTTTCTCATATATTGTGAGTACCTTAGAACCCACTGACTCCATTCACTATCCTCCTAATTTTCATGTAGTTGTCACATATTTTAATTACAGATATAATCACAATAGATTGTCTGTATTGTTGTGTACAGTCATCATTTATTTAGATATACCTATGACTATATTTTTTAACTAGTATAATTTACTTATGCCTTTAATGTTTTCTTTGCCTACTGGTAATAAATTATCTCAGTTTCTGAAATTGTGTATATTTTATCCTCATTTTTGAAAAAAATTTTTGCTGAGCATAGAATTCTATGGTGACATTTTTCCTCTACCTCAAGTATATCATTACATTGTTTTTTGGCTTCCATTATCTCTCCTAAGAAGTCACCTGTAGGTTTAATTGCTGCTGGTTTAAATGTTATATGCTTCCTCAACCCTCCCATCTGCCCACCCCTTCCGGCAGCTTTAAGATTGTCTTGTCTTTTGTTTGCTTGTTTGTCTTAGCGGTTCTTATTGATATATCCAAATATAATTTCTTTATATAAGTAGAACCCATCTGGGGTTTGGAGAAAAACCTCTAAAACTATGGAAATCTGTGCTTGTAATCTCTAGCCTGTGGACCTCGTAGATCTGTACCTATTATCTATACATTTTTGTTTTGTTTTGTTTTTGGTACTGGGGATTGAACCGGGTCCTTGCGCTTGCGCAGCAGGCAGCAAAACCACTGAGCTAAATCCCCGGCCCATTATCTATACATTTTTATCTTGGTTTTGTTCCATGTCATCTTGTCTTCTTGATATCCCTGGTATTTTTATTGTCTAGCACTTTACAGTATATGGCAAAAATTTTACAGATGATTTGAGGCTGAGAATCAGGTTACCTTCTTCCAGAGAGTATTGATACTTGCTTTTGGTAGATAGCTGAGCTCATCAGCAGTCCCAGATGAATTTAATCAGACCAGGAGTTGTGATTTGGAGCTGGAGCCCAGGATCCCGCCAGGCAAGTCAAGCTCCTGTCCACCTGCCTCAGAGGCTCAGCCCTTGTGAAGGCACAGACCTTTCAGTTCCAACCGGAAACTGTGTGTTTACCAAACATAACCCTCTCCCCCCAGCCCCATCACTGGAAACATCATCAAAGTTGACTTCTTCAGAGATGCAGTTTACTATTGTTAATTAATTCTGTCTTTTACTCTTGTTCTTGCAAAATTGTAGCAAGCCCATCTGTGAAAAATTCAGCTTCCCGATCATTCACTTCCCCTAAGAAGTCTCCAGTGCACTCACTGCTCACGAGTTTGGCTGAAGATTCAGTAGGTTCCTCACCACAGTACGGATCCACCAAAACCATTCCCTCACCCGATTCTGCTAAAGGTAAGATTCCACCTGATGCCACTGATGGGACAGATTGAGGCCTTACTCTGCTAACTTGTAAATTCTTTTCCATGCTCACTAAGATTATGTGTGCTGTTCTCATATGCAAGCTCTAATCACTGCTAGGTAACTTATGCAGTCTTGTTTAAATAAAATAGTTCAGGGTACACATATGTAAAATGTAGGAATTAGATATAAAGGTTCTATTTTTCTCTGACATGAATAAGAAACTTTTTTCCTCTTTTATAAGACTGTAGGTCTTTTACATACCATGAGTGACTTTGCTGTCTTATTTACATTCTTTCCAACATGCTGTCCTTCAGTCTCTGCTTTTCTAAGTGATAATGTCTATTATACAAGCTTGTCAAATTTCTCATTTTTAATTTTGTGGGGGAGGACACTGGGGATGGGACCCAGAGCTACTCTAACACTAAGCTATATCGCTTGTAAATTTTATTTTTATTTTGACAAGGGTCTCACTAAGTTGGTCTCACTATGCTGGACTTGAACTTGAGTTCCTCTTACCTCAGCCTCCCTCAGTGCTAGGATTACAGGTGTGAACCACTGTGCCTGGCTTCATTTTTAAAATCTTAAGTTTATGTGTTATTTGATAAGACAAGTGGAAAAATTACTAGATTTACAAGAAGTGCCTGATAAACACATTGGTATTAAATGGAAGTTGAAGTGTTTCTCCTCGTGTGTGACTGTGAACAGGTCACAGCAGTGCCTTGGGGCTCGTCCCATTGATGAGGAGAAACCAGATGAGCTGTTGCATCGCTGTCGAGTTGGTTCTTAGTCTTTTGAAATTCTATGCTGTGCACGTTTCTAGATCCTAAAAAATGAAAATCAGGGGCAGCGGCGCTCCCAGAGTGGTCTGGTCCGGCAAGGGCGCCCGAGCCTGGCCTCGCACGGAGGTGCTGAGCTGGCTGGGCGGCGAGGCCTCCCCACGCTGGCTGGCCACCGTACCCTGGATGGGGGTGAGGGCTCCGCGAAATAGATCTGAGGGTGAGCCCGGGCCGCGGGCGTGGTAAGAGGCCAAGGAGCCCGCGCGCCCGCTCAGGTAGATGCGGCTCTGCGACGATGGACGCCTGGAGGAGGAGAACTTGGCTCTGTCCTTCTCCTCTGCCTCGGATGCAGAATTTGATGTGTGGTTGGATATTTAGAGGACATTATCATGGACGATGAGTTCCAGTTACTACAGAGAAATTTCATGGACAAGTACTGCCAGGAGTTTGAAGAAACAGAGGAGAATAAACTCACCTACACACCCATTTTTAACGAATATATTTCTCTAGTGGAAAAGTACATTGAGGAACAGCTGTTGGAGCAGATCCCAGGGTTCAGCATGGTGGCCTTTGCGACAACGTTACAGCACCACAAAGATGAAGTGGCTGGTGACATCTTTGATATGCTGCTCACAGTTACAGATTTTCTGGCTTTTAAATAAATGTTTCTGGACTACAGAGCAGAAAAGGAAGGCCGGGGTCTGGATTTAAGCAGTGGCTTGGTAGTGACATTGTTGTGCAAATCATCTACAATGCCAGCTTGCCAGAGCAGTCTATGGCACTAGGTAATGAATGGGATCATTCTGGATGTCACCAGCTAAACAGCTCAGAGACTTCAGCTGATGACAGCTGAAGAGTGCATCTTGAGTACTGCAGCCCTTCATTCATGTTAAGTATTGGTGCGTCAAAAACATGACCCGGGCCAGCGATTTAGCTCAGTGGTTCCGGCGCCTGCCTCAAAAGTGCAAGGACCCGAGTTCAATCCCCAGTACCAAAAAAAAACATGACCTGGTCCTCCTAGCCCTGTTTCTCCCCAATCACCTTCCTGTATTCAGTAACCCTAGTGCTTCTCTCCTGTGGACACCTCACTCAGGTGCTTCTGAGTCAGGCTCTAGAGCAACCCCATGCCAGCCATCCCTAGCTTCCCGAGTGGGCATGCCAATGTGGCTGTCAGCAGTGTGCAGGAGCCCACTGTCACCAACCCTCTGTCCTTTGTGTATTCATAGCTCTTTTTTACATAGGTCAGGGTTTCAGACTTTGCATGAGTCCTTTTGTGTATTCATAGCTCTTTTTTACATAGGTCAGGGTTTCAAACCTTAAGCCTCAGTGGGGTTTTTGTTAGGGAGTATTAATCCACGGAGGCACTTTCCTGAGCTAGCCGCCCAGCCTGAGATCTCAGAATCTCCTATGACCCCTGTCCTGGCTGGAGGAAGTGACCAAAAGAGATGCCCTTTATCTGAAAGCCCCAGTAAAACTCCAATCCTGGGCTGGGGATTTAGCTCAGTGGTTTAGCTGCCTGCTGTGCAAGCGCAAGGACCAGAGTTTGATCCCCGGTACCCCCCCAAAAAACAAAACTCCAATCCTGTCTCACATCTGCAGTCCTTGTAACATCGTCTTCTGCTGTTCCTGATGTAGTCTCCCTGTTTCTAAAAGTCTCTTTTTAAACATTCTTTTCAAGAAAATATTTTATAGATGAATACTCATGCTAACCTAGTGGATATGATCTTGGAACTTCCATGACTACCCACTTAAAGATCAAAGTATTATATGCTGTGTGCTCTGTAGTTGTCAGTGCTGTGGAGGCAAAAGTGCTTTCTACATTGCTGTGGATACATGTGCTGCAGATAGACTAAAGCTATCTTTCTATTGTAGTAAACTAATGCTATACTGCTGTTGGAGCATGTTAAGAGTGTTTCTGCACGCTTGCTTAAATCTTTTCTGTACAAGCCACTCTGTTGGGTTTCTGGTGGAATAGGTACAGACTGCAATTTCTTCTTCCTGTCCAGACCTCTGCTGCCAACATGGTGCTCCCTGTCCGACTTAGCATGAGTGGGGGCAGTGGACCCTCTACTGGTCACCTGTCAGCTCTGACTTGGCACAGTGTTTGGTAGACCATTACCAACCTAGAAATAAATCTCATCTCTACAAAGAAGAAAAACAGTTCAATTCCTAATGTGTACTTTTTGTTCTTTTTTTTTTTTTGGTACTGGGGATAGAACTTGGGTCCTTGTGCTTTTGAGGCAGGCAGCAGAACCACTGAGCTAAATCCCTGGCCCTCTAATGTGTACTTTTGATTTCATTTTTTATAGTGAAAATACGAATCTGTACTTTTATTCACTTCACTTGACCATTCTGGTTTTAAAGGATAAGCTATGAGCTAAAAAAAAAAAAAAAGAAAGAAAGAAAGAAAGAAAGAAAATCAGAATTTAATCACATTTTTAGTGGGTTTTTTTTGAACTTTTTGCATTGTTTTTTCTTCTCTTATGTCTCAAAGCTTTTCATTTAGTATTTTTAAAAATTTAAAGTATCGGGCCGGGGATTTAGCTCAGTGGTTCTACCACCTGCCTTGCAAGTGTAAGGACCCAAGTTCTATCCTCGGTACAAAAAAAAAATTAAAGTATCAAATCATTTACCTCATAGGGCAGTGGTCATGCAGCAGTAGACTATGCTGCTTGTCTCCTTGGTATAAAACTTGTGTTACATAAGAACATGGCCTGTTGCTCCCCATCATCAGATACTCATAAAACATTTTAAACCATTCATGTGAAAACTCTGTCTAAGAAATTGTTTCTCCTCTTGAATTAAAATAGTTCCTATATAATTGCTTTTAATATTAGTAACTATAATGAGTAGGAATTTTTTTTTCTGGTACTGGGGATCAAACTCAGGACCTTGCACTTGCCAGGCAGGCACGTTGCCAGTGAACTAAATCTTTGGCCCTTTTAATATCTATAATGAAAAGTGGTATTTGATAGGAAAATGAGCCAACAAAAAATTTTGTCAAGATTATACAGCTATTCAGGGGTTAAGATCAAATGAAAATCTTCAAGTACTGGGGATATAGCTCACTTAGCACGTGTAAGTCCCTGAGTGTTCAATCCCCAGCAGCACAAAATAAAAACTAATTGAAATCTTCAGCTCATCGAATTAAAGTGTTTTTAGAGATTGACAAAACTTTTCATACTTATTGGCAAATATTTTCATGCCTTGGCCCTCTTAAGTTGCTACTGCCTTATTGTAGGTCCCCTGAGGCCAACTGAGCATCCATACAACACTCTTCCATCACATAATACCATCCTTATTCAGGTGACATGACTGGCACAGGCCTCACACGTTCCAAAGTGGTGCTAGTGTCCGAGTTAGATCTTGTTCTCCTACACCCTGTGCATCCAGAAGTCCTTAGGTTTGGTGTGAACACCGACCACTGCTCAGTGGAGTCAGACTGGAAGTACTCTTCTCCCCTGTCCATTTGTTACTCCATAGTTAAATAATAGTAAATCAAATTGTTTTGAAACAAAATCAGCTAGGCTAGTGGTGCAATATTTAGACAGGAAACTTTTTTCTTCATTTTAAAAGTTTGAAGTTCTTTATTTTAAAGGAATAGTTCTTTAATCTGTAATTAGAAAATTTCTAAAAAATATCAAATAGACTTTTAATATCACATCTAAGCAATTTTCTAATAGATTCACAGTCTCTGCCAGTAGAAACAACAGGGAAAACATGCAGGAAACTTCAGAACAGACTGGAAAGCTTGCAAACCCTGGTAGAAGATTTGCAGCTGAAGAACCAAGGTACAGTGCATTTTTGGAGGGGACTTTTTGTTTATAATACTTCCCTTCCCTTCAGGTTAAGCCTTCTGTCTATTGTCCCACTCAGAAGCCACTGAATCTGCAATTCAGAAACCTTACTCAAAACATGAGGGTTCAAACCCTAGTGCATGACCAGGCCCTGGTTTAATTGTCGGACCCTGGACCCTGGGCAGGTCCTGGTAGCCCTACCCTCCTCTAACAGGGCAATAATCCTGCCAGCCAGCCCTCAACTAGGGTTGCTTTTTCATGTGCAACTTGCCCACACACACTTTCTTGTCCCTGTTTTCTCTGTAGACAAGCATCTGTATGATGGTTGCCAAGATAGAATTATAGTCCATAGCCAAAAAAACAAAATAACGGTATTTAGCTGACATGGAATGTAAATGAACATAGTGGCATAAGAGACTATGCCACCCAGTGAATCACAAAATAGAAAGATAAGCCACTTCTAAAAATACTAAAGCCATTTGCATGGAAGCTGTTAGAATCTGCAGTGACGGCCAGCCCTTTGGCTTAAGTTCTGAGGGCCATGAATATGGGAGAGCTATTGTATTTCCTCCTTTTCTGACATAAATTCTTCAATCTGGAAGTCTTTTTCAGAGAGACTGATATTGGAGTACATCTGTTATTCTACCTTTCCATCCCTAGAGAATGTGAGTTGCTAGGTGATATTTTTTAAAGAATAAATACTTATAAAATAAATTTAGTCTTATTGCTAATAATAGTTACTGCAAGCATTTACTGAGTACTTCTTGCATGCCAGGCCCTGTGATTTTCTCCCTGTTGTCCTCACAGTAACTCTGGGAGGTGGGTGCTGCTGTTATTGTCATATGAAAATGAGGAAACTGAGGGAAGAGCAGTATCAGAGTTCTGTGTCACACAATGAGTAGTAGAGCTGGGGCTTGACTCCTATAATTTCTGACTCCAAAATTCACATTTTCTTAGTGCACTGAGGTTATACAGTATCATGTTTTTATTCAGAAAATTCCAAATCCTTTCTGATAGCACCAGCTCCCTGTGTATGTAAACATTAAGATAAAAGTTTCATCTTTAGTTTATTGTGAGGTGGTTTTTACTCTTTAAGGAAGATGCATTATTTCATTAGCCCTATTTTTAATTCACACTTTGACTTGTATTTCTGAGTTATCTGATCAGTGCCATTCTCTAATAATCCAAATGGAAGACATGTTATATTTGCTTAAAATGTGTAAGTACTTTTGTATTGGATGCAATCCCTGGGTGGGATGTTCTATGGAAATTACGAACAAACATTTTTGGAAAAAATTTCAGAAACATTTATCAAAATGTAAAGTACAGGGCTTGGGGTATATTGCAGTGACAAAGCATTCACCCAGCACATGCAGGACCCTGGGCTTGATCCTCAGCATCAGAAAAAACAAAAACACTGCACCAAAGTAAGTGGACTCTTTGAGTTAGAAATTCCAGTCTTAGCAATTTATTTTACAAGAAATGATAGTAAAAAACACAGAAGTCTATATAAAAAGTATTTACCATAGCATTATCTATTAAAAAAATAAGAAATCAGCCTTTAAAAAATTTATTTCATAGGGTTGGGGATTTAGCTCAGTGGTTTTGCCACCTGCTGCGCAAGCGCAAGGACCCGAGTTCGATCCCTGGCACCAAAAAAAAAAAACCAACAAAAATTTATTTAATAAATAATTATTAGTAAATAAATTTTTAAAGGTGTATTTGTGCAATGAAATATTGCACAATCAGAATAAAACATGAGAAAGATGTTGATATCTAGTTAAGTGAAAAAAGTAAACTACACATACCTGCATTTGTGTAAAGAAGAAAACTTGTGCGTGTTGGACATAAATTTTCCAATGTCACAAACAATACAAAATAAACCAGACTTTTGAAAAGATTTTCGGCAAGGCTTTACTTCTACAGAAGGGTGTGTCGTTATGCTATACAAAGCCAGCCAGCACACATAAGTAGTCTGCTGGGGTTTTATTCCCTGATGCACCAGGCCGTGCCTGTGGTGAGAGTGTAGCCTTACAGTCTAACCCGATTGGCCAGTTCTTACGGTGCCGGTGCCATAGAACAGAGTCTGTGACTCAGGAATCTCTTTGTTGGATACAAAAATTTACGGCCGGTGGACTGGGGCGTGCCCCTTTGTCTTTAAATTGTCTTGCTAAGGAATGATGAAACAAGCACGTGTACATTTTACAAAAATAGAGATTTGTATAAAAGAGTTATCTTAAATATTCCCTTTAACAGAAAAGACTACCTTTCTCACGTGTGTGCAGAAATTCATCAAACTCTCTACAGAATGACCTCTGTCCCAGCAGACAAGGGAGCGGAGACAAAGACTGACTTTTCTCTCTCTTTGTACCCTCCTGAAGTGTTAGAATTATGTATTCTTTTATAATAATTACCTTCATCTGATCTTATCCTGCATGTTTGAACAACTGAAAAGTAAATGTTTACTCTTACATATGTTCCCTAACACCAATCTTTTTAAAAATATGCCAGACGAGTTTGATCCCTTGTACCAAAAAAAAAATAATAAAAACTAAATAAATATATATATGCACCACACTAATGTTTAAGAACTTCTTGAGTTTAAAATGTATTTATTCTATTCTAACAAGCAGATCATTTAAGAACCGCATAATAGAATTTTGCTATTCTGACTTTATTTCATCAACATTTTCAGCAATGTCTTTGATGATCAGAAATCAAGAAAAGAGGATACAGAAGGTGAAGGACCAGGAAAAAATGTTACTAAAGTGACACCTCACTTGCCTGTCTTTACAGAGGGATGATGTCTTATCCATTGTGATGTTACTTATAATTAGTGCCCTGTGTACTTTTTTCTTTTTATGTGAAAATTTAATAAAAGATACCCTGTCCTGTAAACTCTGTCTCGAGAGTTTTGAAATAAACTATCCCTGAATGCTTTCACACTAAAAACTTTTTTTTTCTATTATGTTTATTGGTACGTTAGGTATACAGTACAGTTACATTCATCATTGGGATCTGGTACCTTTACATGATGTATCTTGGTTCTTATTTTTCCGCCTTCCCCTGCCCTCCCTTCACCTCCTCCACCCCTCCCTATTTACAAAGACATTGTTTCCATTTTTTCCTTTTCTCATATTTTTTCCTTTCTCTTCTTTCCTTTCTCCTACCCCTCCCACTTCCCCTCCTCCTTTAGACCTTTTCTTTCTATTTCACATTATCAGTTATACATTTTGATCCTTATTTACACTTTTAGTTTCTCATACCAGAGAAACTATTTGGTATTTACACACTGGTGTCCTGTTTATTTCACTTAAGAGTATGGCCTCAGTGTGCATCCATTTAGCTATAAATGTCTCTAGTTTCTTGTTCTTTATGGTGAGTAGTACTCCATTTTATTAAGAAAAAACCCACACCTTCTTTATCTGGTCTCCAGTTGATGGGCAACTGGACTGTTTCCAAGCTTTAGCTATTACAAACTCTTACACTAAAACTTTGACCAGTACTAGCAGGATTTGAAAGTATTCATATAGTATAAAGCATTAATTGCTGCTAATTCCAATGTATTATAATAATTAT